TCATTTGTCTTCTTTGGGGAGGGGATATGTTTTTTTTTTTTATTGTATGTTTATTTTTCCAGATGAATTTTGGTGTTATGTCATGTTGAAAGATGATTTTGTTTAGCATTGAGTTAAGAGATTATTTTAGGGAGACTTGGCTGTCTCTGTAAGTCTGAGCCTTTTTATCCAAAGGAAAGATAGTCCCATGTAGTGAAGTTTTTTGTCTCTTAGAGAGTTTTTAAGTTTTTTTTCTTTAATGAAGTTCTTGCAAATATATTCCTTTTGTTATTAGGTTCCTTGTTTATATTGTGGATAGGAGCTTTTTTCCAATCACATATACTTCTGAATGTTAATGTTTTTACACAGGCATCTTACTGGATTTGCCTGTTTTGAAAAATGAAATTTTTCATTGCTTCTTTTGGATGTCGCAGATACACTAATCATCATTTATAAGTAAAGCTTATTTTGGCTTCTTATTTCAGTATGCATATTCTATATTTTTTCATTTACCTAATTAACATTGGTTAAGATTATCCAAAGAGTATTAAATGGTGGTACATGTTTGTTTTCAAATTTAGATTTGGGTAGCCATTCCAGTCCCTTTATAAAGACCTGAAAAAAAAAAACCCATGAAGTGCAAGTCTCTCATTTTATAGCTGAGGATGTAGACTTAGAAGGTTTGTCCATCCAAGGTCACACAAGGGTTGACTGTCAGAGCCCAGGGTGAGCTCTGGGTCTTGACCCACTGAGCAGTGCTCTTTCACTCTCAGCCTATTAGTCTGGGACAAGCAAAGATCCCCTCAGCATCTCTGCCCAGTCCGTGCCTAGCTGTAATACCCAGCCGGACTCTGGAAATCATCCAGACAAATTCTAAGGCATTTTTTTCCACTGTGTTTCAAGGACTGTCTGCTCTATTAAAGTAGCAGACGATCGGGCTAAAGAAAATACTGGCAGTAATATATTTCATCAGGCACTTAATCTAGAAAATGCCTGTGTGAGAGGCAAATTTCAGGTGGTTCATAAAGCCTTCGCATGTTGGCAAGCTTAGACAAAGCTATAGCTGTCCTGGTTTCGCTGTGCTTTGTTCATGCGGTGTGCTTGGTCTGTCTGGAGTGCAGTACTGGGGTGCCTTCTGGCCTCCAATGGACACCCTATCCCAGGGATGCTCGTACACAAGTAAGAAAGATGGCCCCTGCCCTTGGTAAGCTTGTCATTTAGCCAGATGCCCCTATTTGAAATCTGATTTTCTTATTTTCCTCAGATCTTAATTCTCATTTCCCAAATAAATGTTTTTGATGTTGCCTTTTGACTCTGGCTGGGCCATTTTCTGAAAACCTTCCAGAAAACTGTGTCATTTGAGTTATTGCTTGTCGTATTTTTCTGTAGTACCAGGGAGATAAGGAAAGAATGTGCACGGCTGCTTTAGAAAGAATGAGTGTGTTAAGGAACGGTGCCCCCTTCTTTTCCAAGAAAATGTTTTTCTGATCCTACCCTACTTTGAACCTTGTGAGTTTGCTGGGTACACGTTAGCCTGTACCTTCCTGAAGTTGCAGAGCCAAGGTGTCGGGCTTCTAACCCCCTCCATGCTTAACTAGCAAAACTGCTCCGTTCCTGTTTCAGTTTCCATTTGGAACGTGGTGTCCTACTTTAGTGTGATGTCAGAGCTAATGGAATAGATAGTGACACGAAAGCGCTGGCACGTTTTAGTATGGTCACTTAAGCTCGCTCGCCCTTTGCAGAGAGTCTAGTTGATGTTAATGCCCCTATTAGGATAAGTTTTTGAGATTTCAAAAAAGTATTAAGAAGTAGTGCAGAATAAAGGGCTGACGTGACCTTGACTGGAGGTGAAAATGAAAGACTGTGGTAGTGAATGAAAACAGGAGACCACTCACCTCTAATAGCTGTATTAAGTTAAGTCACCCAAGGCATATCTGGTGGTTGGAGACACCTGGCCGCTTCCTGTCTGGGGTGAGGTGTGGTTGCGGCGAGTCACGCTGGCTGTTTCTCTTAGAGGCTGCTTGGCACCCTGGGGCTTGAATCCAGGGGACTGATGGAAGTCTAGAAGTCTAGCTTTGTATTCAGGAGGGCGCTGATGCTAAATGCCAAATGCCGATGGAGAGGGCAACTTGTCTTTTAAAGACATCTAGGAAAGGCCAGTTCCATACCTTCTGTCGAAAGCCCTGCCACTTGTATTCTCCCTCTCAGTTGTGTTTGTGTTACCACTGTGCCCCCTTCCACCTGATAGCTATCCTGTGACCCAAGGGCAGCTGGGGAAGGCGCCACTGTTTAAGAAACTGACAGTGAAGTCTAGAGGATAAGAGAATATTGTGGCTCTAGATTGCTGGCTCTACAAATTTACTGTGCTTAGAATGACCTCACAGGAATTGGACCCGTGAGGTCTGGGGTAGAACTCAGACTGTGGTTCTGATCAGGGCGGCCGTGGAATCCCACTCTGAGCTCAGCTCTGGATAGATGATCTGCTCTAGGAGGCACAGTTTGCCCTCCAAGCTTGCCCACACCATCTAATGCGAGAAAGCAGCAGCTGGCCGGAACTGAGGGACACCAGAATTGATGGCCGCTTCCCTATGGGACGCTGGGTGGTGATGGCAAAGGATTTGAGGCCTTTCTCGAGTCTACCCAAGGCCTGCACCTCAGCTTCCGTATCTTTTCGGAGCGCCTGCCTCCACCCCCGACGTTAGAGCATGCTCCTAGAGCATCGCCCACGCTTCACTTCACAACTCCTGCATCTCTCCTCTCCGAGACTGGGAGCCCAGAACTTAGGAAATCCTGAAAATCCATGGACTGAATTCTAAAACCGTCTTCTGTTGGTATTTGGTTTAGTAGGGTCAGACCTCGGCCCATGTGTTTCTCTCCTAAGCACTTGTTTGCTATAGGCTTGCTTACGCAGGTATCCCGTGGCCACCTGAAACTCAAGCCACCTGTCTAGAGTAGCGTCTAGGATGCTGGCAATGCTTTTAAAAGGATGGAACCATTTTTAAGCCGGTTTACACTTCACGTGAGCACTCTGAGTTCAGCCCTTAGCTCCATCATAAATATTCTTAACTACAGACTAGAGCATTGCTAATAATATCCATCTGTGAACCACAGTATGAATTGTATGTTGATTTGCAGTTGCATTTTGGGCCGCCTGCCACTAAATGCTGAAAGTGCTGCAGAGACTGCTATTCGTCTCTCCTCCGGAAAATAGCGAATGTGTTCAACTCCTCCGAGAGTCCCCTTGGGGCTGGGTGAGATCTACAGCAGATCCCACTCCGGAGACTTGCTGGAACAAGAAAGTCTTCCCAGCTCCAGGCTGGAGTCGGGTTAACTTGAACATTGTGGGGACAGCATAGTCCCCATTACTCATAATGGAAGCTCACCTGTGCGTGTTAACCCCTTGTTTCCTAGCCTATGTGTTGGCCTCGACTCAGCACATCTGTCACCAGGGGAACTCTAATAAAACAAAAACGATACCCTGGCCCCTTTCCCAACCAATTACATGTTGAGTCCCTGGGGTGGGTCCTTGCACAGATATCTTTTAAAGCCCCTCAGGCCTGAGAACCGCTTTAGCGCGAGCGTTGCTCCCTGTTAAATGCATCTCTGCGCCCTACCGGGAACTCTGCAAAACCTGTCGTGATCATTTATACCCCAGAGCAGATAAATTCAGAAAGGGGGAATTGATAAGAGAAATAGACGAGAGAGACATGAGGGGAGGGCCACAGGCCTTGATGTGACAGATTTCTGCCTTTCGACCAGTTAGTTCTTGGTGTAGGGCCAGAGTGGGGCATGGAGGGGCCGTGGAGCCCTGGGGACAAAGGTGGCCTTCGATGGGCCGGCCGGAGGTTCCCATCCGGTCACTTCTAGGCTGCACCTGACCTGCAGGTACGTTTTGTTTGGCCTGCAGCGTGGTGGCACACAGCAACTCTTTAAGTGTGCCCGCCAGTGCCTACAAGGCCAGTTTCACGGGGCCGCGGTCTCTCTCAGTTGACGGTACCGGACAGGAGACCATGCGTGTGCAGTTCTCGGAGGCTCCTTTAGTCAGGTGCTCCATTCCTGAGCACAAGACTCCAGGGACCCTGGACTGTAAGTGTGTCCTTCCGATTTGAGGTTCACCATTTGAGAAGAAATATTCCCGTAGTTACGTCGTATCAATGCCTTCTGCTCCAGTGATCTCGCCCCCAGGCTGGGCTGTAAGGACTATCCCACCTCAGAGAGAGCAGTCCCAGGATGACTGATCTGCTCTGGATCCGAGGGCTGTCTCTTAACTGCTCTGGCTCAGAGTGTCCTCGTCTATGTGGCGGGGGGCGGGGGGGGGGGGGACAGGATCAAATAATTTCTAAGTTTCTACCTCTGGCCTCTGGGGACTCCAATGGCACGAGATTAGAAGGGAGACCGCTTGGTTTAAGAGCAGCCTGTGTGTAAAGGTGGAGAAGTTCCAGAGCATAAGGTCGGCACTGAAATGCCAGCTTGGAGAAGTCTGGGAGGCCAGAGAGGGAGGAGGCGGAAGGGAGGACGGAAGGACCAGGGCGAACTGGCGGTCTGGGAGGGAGGAAGTGCTCCGTCACTGGAGATGTCCCTCCCAGACCACGCAGCCATTTGGAGGGGGTGTTGTAGGGAGCGAGTGGGTGACAAGCCCTTCCAAACATTTAGACATGATGGGAAGGAAGCAGGGGCCCCTCACCCACCGCCTTTCCTTCAGAGAAAAGACACAGGCTCCCCGGATGTGCCCTGCTCACAGAACGGGAGATAGCACCTTGGGGTTGTTTTCAATCACCTTTTTTTTTTTTTTTTTTTTTTTTTTTTATTTTTAAAAACATTTACGACAGTAAAGGTCGGGGCAGGGAGAAGGGAGACAAAGCACTTTGATGCATCCCCCTCCTGTCAAAACAGAGCCCGAAGCAGGGGCCCCTCACCCACCGCCTTTCCTTCAGAGAAAAGACACTGGCTCCCCGGATGTGCCCTGCTCACAGAACGGGAGATAGCACCTTGGGGTTGTTTTCAATCTTTTTTTTTTTTTTTTTTTTGTATACTTTTAAAAACATTTACGACAGTAAAGGTCGTACTGTGGGGCAGGGAGACAAAGGACTTTGATGCATCCCCCTTTCATTTCTATCTCAAAACAAGATTAAGGCATAAATTACTCGCCGGGCACCGGCGTGCCTGTTGTCCTCAAGGCGCCGTCACTGGTGGTACCACTTGTCCCATGGGCCAGCGGATCAGGATCAGGTATTTGCCACCGAAGTTCCACACGCTCGGGTGTCCCTGCACCGGCTTTAACCAGTGCGTTCCAGAGAGCACCCCTCGGCAGTGCAGGCTGAGCCCTTCTCTCTAGTGCTCGGTAGGTGGGAGGGAGGGATGGGAGGCTGTGCGTGTGTGTGTGTGTGTGTGTGTGTGAGCGCGTGAGTGCGCGCATGTGCACGTGCGTGGAGAGGTTGGTGATGCAGGGAAAGGAAGCTCCCCCCTGCTACCCCGCTGCTGGGCGCTACTGGGCCTGGAGCCGTGTTGCGCTCAGGGCAGGCAGGCGGGAAGACCACGAGGGAACGCGGGACCCAGAGAGTGCACCCACCGCAGGCCCCCGCGGGGTGCTCGGCACAAAAGCTGCTGCGGGGGGGTGGTGGTGTGCGGGGCTGGAAGGCCCACCTGCCTCCCATCTCGGGGTGGGCGCCTCATATTCTGCGTCCCAGCTGCCCGTCGGTCAGTCTCCACGCCCCAGGGTCTTTCTTCATCCCTGTCCAGTAGCTGTCACCATCAAGCCCTTGGGCCCCGGGGTTCATTCAGGGGCAGCTCTCCTGCCTGGGGAAGGGGTGGGTGGGACTGGAGAGCCTTGGGTAGCGCCGGGGACCTGGACCGGGTGCGGTGGGGGCAGGGGGTGGGAGGGCAGCACAGGATTCAGATCTGTTGCCCCCCTGGGTCCCACTGGGCCTCAAGGCCTGGAGTGTGAAGAACGGGTTTGCATTGCCTCCTTCCTCTGCCGGTTTCTTCTGAGGATGGGACGGTTATGAAATCCTAGCACCTTAGTGGTAGAGGCAGCACATGCCCCCACAGGGCCCGAGGGGGGCTTTGGTGTGCCTTGGGAGGGTCCCTTGAAGTCACCAGGGATCCTTGTTGGAGGTGTCTCGGCCTCCCAGTAGAGTAGTCCCTCTTAAAACTGGCTTGAGTTCCTTCCGGAGGGTGCAGGCGTGGTCTCTCAGGAGATGAGGTCAAGTGCAAAGCGAGCTGGTGTCTTCTCCACCCCAGCTCAGCAGGCCATGGGCCTGGGCCTGCACATGGCCTGGACTGGTGTCCTGGCCTCCATCAGCTCACAGCCTCTGAGCCTCACTCCAGCACCTTGGGGGTGGGATCCAGGCCAGTCTCCCTCCTGCGCCTGGCGCTTTTAAAGAAGCCGAGCTGGGGGGAGGCAAAGGGAGAAGTCTCAGGGACAGGGGCAGGGCAGACAAGGCCTGTCACCTGCTCCTTGCTTTCCCTCTGCTCACCCTCCTGAGGCTTCTTCCTGTAGGAGGCTTCGCTGAATACCCCAGCTAACACTGAGTACCCCCCCTCCACAAACACCCCCAGCCCAGCAGAACTCCCTTGATGGGCCACACAATGGGCCACTTAATTGGTATGGGGGGACTGCAATGGAGTGGATGGAGCCTGGGTCAGGAGGCATGAAGTGTCATGCTGTGTGACCCTGCCCTAGGCAGCACCTCTCTCTGGGTCTCCCTCCTCTCATCAGAGACCAGGGGTTCTGCACCTGAGGCTCAGCGACCGGAGGGCTTGGGGGTTTGTTAACAGCCTGACACTGTTGGGAGAAACGTGGCTGTGTGTACTTTGCTGCTGCCTCTCATAAGAGTAAGACCGAGCTTTCATCAGGTTCTCAAAGGGACCCACAAAAGGGTCAGAGCCACTTGGTGAGGGCCCTCTGTTGGCCTTAGCCAATCTGCCTGCTATGGGGGGACATGGATGCGTAGGTAGCAGGAGGCAAGTTCTGGGGAGAAGGCCAGGTGGGTGCCAGCTCCCCTGGGGAGGAGAACGTGGAGACGGGCCACAGAGCCCGCAGGCTGGAGCCCCCTGCCTGGGCCAAGCAGCCAGATGCTGCCCCCCCCCCCCCCACCAGCCTCACCTTCCAGAGTGCCAGCACGAGCAGGGCCAGCAGCAGGAGGCCCCCCAGCGTGCTGCCCAGGACGATCCAGAGGGGGATCTGCGAGTCTTCCTGCTTGGAGACCTCAAATGTGATCTGTAAGGGGATGAGTGCACCAGGTCAACAGCCTTACTGTTCTGGGGCCCGGGTGGCAGCCGGGGTGGCAGGAGATGGCCAGGGCCTGCTGGGATCTGCTGGAGGGATGGGGGGCACCCAGCTCCCGCGGAGCCCTCAGAGGGCCTGGCCCTGGCACAAAGGACCCCTGAGTTAAATGATCCAGGTGATCCTGCCTCCTGTTTGAAACTTACTGCCTTTGGCCTTGGGCTCTGTCCCATGTTCCATGGCTCTGCCCTGGGACCTCTTTCTTATCTAGAGGCATTTTCTGGTGAGCTCAGCACTGTCTTACCCAGTAGGCATGGGGGCCCAGGGCCCTTAGTCCTTTTAGGGGCCCATGCAAATGTTCTAATGTCTTTTAAAAATTGAGGGAAAAACAAATATAATCTCTTGCCTGGATTATGTTTGTCTTTATATATATTTGTCATAAACTAATTTAAATTATTATTTTTAAATGTCTATGTATTCTTGAGAGAGAGAGGTAGAGAGCAAGCAGGGGAGGGGCAGAGAGCGAGGGAGACAGAGAATCCCAAGCAGGCTCCATACAGTCCACACAGAGCCTGATGCGGGGCTTGAACTCACAAACTGTGAGATCAAGACCAGAGCTGAAACCAAGAGTCAGATGCTTAACCGACAGAGCCCCCCAGGAGCCCCTAGTTTGAATTATTTTTAAGGAGGAAAGATCTCCGAAGGTAAGGGTGCTCAGGGCTGTGGAAACAGCTGTAGGTAAACTCACTCCATCCTGGGGCTTTAACATCTATATGCTGACTCTGTCCCCTTTCTCCCTTCTACCAGGACTCTTCAGACTCCTGTCCTCCTGTCCTCCTGGCCTGCTTGGCATCTTTAACAGGTGTCCAGACAAACTCTTGATCCCGCTTTGTGCCCTCAACCCTGTTGCATCACCGCCTTTCCCATGAAAACAAATGCCAGCATTGTCCTTCCTCACTGTTGCTCAGGCCGGAAGCTTTGTACTCGTCACTGACTCTTAACCTTTGCGTCCACGTGGACTCCAGCAAAGTCTGTCCTTTTGACCTCTGAAGGACCCAGAATGTGGCAGTCCCGCCCCCAGGGCTACCTCCTGGGGCTGAACATCCTCCTCTCCCCCGAGACTGCAGAAGCCGGCTAACTGCCTCCTGGCTCCGGCCTCACCCTCTGCAGTCGGTTCTTAGCTTGGCAGCCAGAGCAAGGCAGATGGATTCAGTGACTCAAGAGTGGAAAAGCAGAGTCCCTGCGTGGGCCCGCAAGGCCTTACACTCTCCAGTTCTGCTCATCTCGCTGGCCTCATCTCCTGCCCCCCACCCCACCGCATGGCTCTCTCTACTCCAAGCCTCCAGCGACCTGGCCTCCAACATGCCAAGCACATGTCCACCGAAGGCCTTTGTATTGCTGTCCTTTCTTTCCAGCAGTGCAATCCCCCCCCCCAATAGCTACATGACACCCCTATTCTTCGTCTCTGATGTCAATTTATTGGAGTGGCTTTTCTCAATCTCCTTGTATAAAATAGCACCCCCCCCAAGTCTCCATCTTTACACGCCTGTTTTTCGGGGCAGAACTTATCGCCATTTGACACTGACATATTCCTGCGGCTTGCCTTTCTTCCCATCTAGAATGTCAGCTCCAGGAGAGCAGGGCTGTCTCCGTTCACGGTCCCATCTTCAGTGCCGGGGACAGAGCAGGCGCTCGCTCAACATGCCGGAGAGCGGCACGGACGAGCCCCTGCGGCAGCAGCAGAGAGTCCTGACTCAGCTCCAGTTGACTCACTGTTCAGTGCCCCCCTGCCTTATCTCGCACAACCTGAGTTTCTGCATCTGAAAGATAGGGGTGGGGCACACACCTCACAGTGCTTTGAGGAATGAGCGAGAAAACATGCAAAGTGTCTGTGACAGACAGTGCCTGGCCCAGGGTGAGGGCTCAACAAATGGCAGGTTCCTTCTTTCTCTGTCCATCCGTAAAGGCTGGGACCTTCTCTACCTTCCCGCCCCTAGCACCTAGCACACAGCCAGGCCGACAGGGGCTTAAATTCTGGGTTGCTGGTTTCCTAAAAGAGATGTGAGGCATTTAGAGATTATAAGAAAGGTTTTTGGGGGGCTCCTGGGTGGCTCAGTTTGTTGAGCATCCGACTCTTGATTCTGGCTCAGGTCATGATCCCAGGGTAATGGGATCGAGCTTTGTGTCGGGCCCGTGCTGAGCGTGGAGCCTGGTTAAGATTCTCTCCCTCCCTCGGCACCTCTCCCGTCCCTCTCTAAAAAAGTAAATAAATAAAAAAGAGGGATTTTGGGTGGAGTGGGAGCTGACGGAGAAGGAGAATTCATTTAAAAGATGAACTTAATTTAGAGACAGGGGTAGTGTGTGTGTGTGTGTGTGTGTGTGTGTGTGTGTGTGTGCGTGTGTGTGTGTGTGGTGGGGGTGCCTGGGCACTGCCTCTTGTCTCTTGGCTGCCTGCAGAATTCTAACATTATCTCTTAAGATTCAGTTCAAATGGACGGTATCGAGAGAACTTTCTCTGGACATCCCTTGCTCTGACTGGCCCCCTGCCAAGCCCAGCACCTGTGCTCACCCCCAGACTGTGGCCATGGCCTTGCTTTCCTCATCCCCATGTCTGCTTAATTCATCTCTGTATCCCTGGGGTGGGGCTTGAGTCATAGGAGGAACACCCAACAACTGGATAATAAAACCGCTCCTTAGGTGGGTCCCCTGAGAGCTGCTTCTAGGTTTTGGTCCCTGCTACCCCTCTGTGTGGTGGCCCCCCACCTTGTTTATGAATGATGTGTGTATGCGTTTTAATGAAGGTCTGTCCTCCTGACCGTGTCTGTTTGGGGCTCCAGCATCTCCTGGGGGCAGGGCTGGCATTAATGCCGCATCTGGTATGGGAGCCCAGGCCACGCTTCGGGGATGTGGCCAGTGGAGGGCAGCAGTGTCCCGCGCCCAGGATGCCCGTCTCTCCACAGGATTGGGCTTTTCTTCAAGACCCAACTTTTCCTTTTCTCAGGAGAGCACCGTGGGAAGCCTCACCCCCTTCCAGAGGCCCTGATTCAAGGCAGTCTGGTCTGTGACAATCCGGTTTTGTCCAATTCAGAAAGAGTCCTAATTCAGAGACATCTTGCATTTCCTCAGTCTTCATGAATTCAGTTCATGCCAGACTTCTAAAGCATGTCATGTGTATTTCCTTAAATTTGAAGTGCTAAGGGATGGGGAGGAGAGGGGTGGGCTGGTCGCTCTGGGCTGCCAGCCCACCCAGGATCCAGCGTCACAGCTGGTGGAGCCAATCAGTAAGCCTCTCCAGCAGGGGGGGCCTGGGTTCCAGTACTTTCCTCTAGTGCAGGATATGCAGATTCCCCTTCTTCCCCTCTTCTGCGGGGTTATTGTGGTCCAAGACCTGCTGCGCCCAGGCACTGCGCCAATGCCTACTTCTGGCCCCCTCCCTACTGCTGCCCCTAAGAACCCTCTGATCTTGCTCTTCCCCCTCTCTTCTGATGCTGTGCTAATTGCCGGCAGATGGGTCCTTCTCTCTCCTGCAGCAACACATGAATGGAGGGAAACTCTAGGGAAAGAGATGACCCCTTCCCCAGCTGGCCTGGCTCAAGCTCAGGTCTGCAGGGTCCCCAGGGGGCTCACCTGGCGGCTGGGATCCTCCTCGCGGAAGATGAAGGGGCTGTGGAACTGTCTGTGCAAGGCTGCATTGACCGTGATCTTCATCAACTTGTACTTGAGCTGTATGATCAGAGGCCTTGTCAGAAGCCGGGCTCTCCCTGGGTGGGAGACTCCCCAGCACCCACCACCTTCCCTTTCTTCCTGGAGTCCAGCCCAGGTGCTCTACATACTGCTTTTATTTTTATTTTTAGAGACGGGGGGGGGGCGGGGGGAGGGGGAAGGGGGCGGGAGAGAGAGAGAGAGAGAATCTCAAGTAGGCTCGATGCTCAGCGTGGAGCCCGACACAGGGATCATGACCTGAGCCGAAATCAAGAGTTGGATGCTCAACTGATCTAGCCACCCAGGGGCCCCTCTACTTACTGCTTTTAGGGACCTCAACCACAGGTTTCCCAGTAGATGGAAATGGATTTCCTGGTTGGGGGCGAGCCTCACGTTGCAGCTGATGGAGACCACGTCAGAGTTGCTGTGATTCTGAAAGGGGAGGTAGGTCTCGGGGTGAGCGACCAGGCTCTGGGGGCACAGGGGAAGGCAGCTGGCCTCGCCAGGGCCCAAACCACCAGAGAGATGGCTGAGCTCCACCGGTCACCCAAGGTTTGCTCCTGGGGGAGGAGGAGCGGAGGACAGGGGACAAGGAGAGGCGGGGGTGGGGGACACACAGGCTACGGCTGCCATGGGATGGCTGGACCACAAGGTAAGGAGGGTGTATGTCGTACTCGAAGTTGTGCGTAACTGGGTGTCTTCTGGGAGAATCTGGTTCGACGTTAGGGAACCTATAAATGTCATCACCGCACAAATGGACCAGAGGAAACAACTGGAACAGATGCGGAAAAGGCATTTTGGGAAATCCAACTTCTGTTTATGATTAAAAAAAAAAAAAAAAAAAAAAAAACTCCCAAGGAACTCCCTGAATCTGGATAAAGGGTGTTTGTTAAAAAAAAAACCTATGGCCAGTGTCATGTTTAATAATGAAAAATTTTTAAAAATTTTAAGAAATCAAGATCAAGATAAGCGTGTCGGCATTTCTATGCCCCGTTGCCCCAGAGATCCTGGCAGGGGCCGTAAGGTGAGAAAAGCCATTTATAAAGACTGAATGGTGAAGCTAACACTATTACGATTTCCAGATGACACCATCTGAACAGAAAAACCAAAGAAATCGTCAAATAACCAGAATTTATTAGGTTAAACTTCGAGTCTCTTTCTTGCAGCCCCCTTAACCCCCACCCAGGTCCAGTCTTCAGTAAAGTACACGACACTCAAAAAAATGTTTTGTGTGAGGTGCTCGTTTGGGGGCAATAACGCCAAAACAGCTAAGATTTCTGTTTGGGAAAGAATAATGAGAGCATGCTCAGAAAGTGGTATCTGGGGACAGCGGCAAGCCTGCGAACAGAAGCCTGGAAACTAGCAGGTGTTTTGGGGAGGGCCTTGGGAGGTGACACGAACTGCCTTCCATCTCTGGGGTCAGGGAGGCCCCAGCTGATGGGGTCGATGTCCCCACTACCAGCCACGGAGGTCTTGGCCTCCACCTGGCTTCTTCCCCTTCCCTCTGCTCATCTGTGTCCCGCTGGCCCTTTAAGGCACAGGTACCCGTCCACTCTCCCTGGTCCTTTCCTCCACTGTCACTCTCTTGACACCTGTCACAGCCTTGTCTCCTGGCTTCTTTGGCATTCACTCTTATGTACCCTCCGAGATGGTAAGCTCGTCAAGAGCAAGAAGTATCTTCTCTTCATTTTGCTTCCTCTGGGTTTGAAGCGGGACACACTGTGCTCAACACGCTCTTCCTGACCAACCACCGGAACGGGAGAAAAGTAGCGGCCACTCACCAGCTGCGGGGCACGACTCAGGTCTTCCTCCGTCGGGGCGCGCCGGTACTCGGTGCTGTTTCCCCAGATGTTACAGGACGTGTTCACCTGCACGAGGGACACACACCGGCCTCACAACGGGCACGGGCAGACTCGGCATCCCGGAGATGTTCCTCGCTCCTCTTCTTCCCCGAGAAGGTCCTGGGAGGAGGAGCTGAGGTCTGGGGACTTGGGGACACGCCCACGGGCAAGTCTGTCTCCTCCTGGTCCCTTCCCCTTTAAGCCGGTTCCCAAGGCCGCCCGTACCTGGTCAGTAAGGAAGTCCCTCAGCATCAGCAGGCGGTTGCCACCCCTGGTGGCGATGGGGACAGTGATCTTCATCATCACTCCGTGGATGGGGAAGAAGCCCAGGTTCTGGATCTGTGGCCAGAGGGGGAGGAGTCAGTACAGCCCCCAGCAGGCAGAGGTGTGGAGGCGGGCTCCGCAGGGCCCGCGCCCACAGCCCGGCCTGGGAAGCGGGGGCCCCCTTCAGGCCCCCTGGCCTTCTCACTGTGGAAGTTCTGCGGCTCTGCTAAATTCCCCTGCGGGGGCTGCACCGATGAGGTTGTGTGAAAGCGCTGGCAGGGCAGGGGTCCTGGAGGCTGAGGGTCCACAAGTCAACAGGGCCATGAGGCTGGAGGGCAAGGTCACTTCCATTTTCTTTTCTTCTTCGTTCTTTTTTTTTTCTTTCTCTCTTTTTCTTTTTTCTTTTTTTTGATAGAGAGGGCGGGGAGTGTGCTTGCTTGCCCACACGAGCAGGGGAGGGGCAGAAAGAGAGCGCACAAGAATCCCAAGGAGGCCCCATCCACACTCTCAGCGAAGAGCCCAACCCCGGGGCTCGAACCACCAACCGTGAGATCATGACCTGAGCAGAAATCAAGAGTCGGGCACTTAAGGGACCGAGCCACCCAGGCCCCCTGAGTCACTTCCATTTTCAACTTCCCTCCCTTGGCTGTGGGGAGTTTTGCAGCCTGGTGCTGGCAGCCACCCTGTCCTGCAGTCGAGGTGGACATGTTGAGAGCACTTATGAATTTATTATGAGGGAGACTCTTGAATTAATGGTGGACACGACCGGCGAGTGTGTGATGGTGCACGTTCTGGCTGTGACACATCTGGTGTCTGAGCAGCTGTGGTTACAAGCAGGGCTTTGGAATCACAGCCTGGGGCGGGGGAGTGGGGAGCAGCTATGACCATCACCTGTGGTCTCAGGCAGTCGCTAAACCCCTCCTGGACCAGCCAGCCAGTCACCGGTGTGTCTGAAATGCAGTTCCCAGCTGTCAGCCCGCCCCTAGCTCTCATGCGGAGTTCAGAGGAGCAGGGGCCCACGCTGCAGACTGCTCAACTGCCTCCTAATTCTCCTTCTCGCCCCTTTGTTAGTGACGGGCACTGAGACAAAGGCCATGTTTTCCAGCCTCCCTAGGTAACTGCAAGTGTGAGGAACTACCAAGGAGCTTCTTTACTAGGGAGGGGCCTGCTCTTCTCCCCTTCCTTCTTCCTGGAATGAGAACGTGATGGCTGGAGCTGCAGCTCTATTGGGCCATGAGAAATCTGAGAGGCTGATAATCGCTTGTTGAGGATGGTGGACCAGATGGGAGACCCAATCCTGAATGACTGTGATGCTGTCAACTCTGGACTTTCTTGTGGAGAGAATAAACCTGGTCCACTTCGACTGCTGTTTTGTATATTTTTAAAATCATACGCAGCCGCACCTAACCGTCACTGATACATCCTCACAGTCCAGCCCCATTATTGTCTAGACGAGGCCCAGAGAAGGGAAGGAACTTGCTTACAATCACACAGTGAGTGGGTGACAGGGTCGGGCTGAACCCCAGGCACAAGCAATGATTCCAGATTCTTCCCCTCCCAAGCGGGGCTCCTCAGCTCTTACCTTGAAAACGCAGCTGAAGGGAGGCCCGATGCCGTCATACCTCTCCAGGGAGCTATTGGGCTTGACCTCGTAGTGGCTCAGGCTGCTACTCCTGCAGGGACAGAGGATGGGGCCGCCGTGAGCTCAGTCAATGCTGGCCAGATGGATAATGAACCGACGAGGGTGCGCGCATATGCCCAGCCCTCCTAGACCACGAAAAACAGGTTTCCTCTCGCGTCCATCGGGAGAGCTGTGTCAGGAAGGGTTCCGAGGCTCAGCAGGAGTACACGCCGAGATCAGTTAGCAACATCCTCCCGTGTGGGATGGGTGTGAACCAGAAGAGCCGTTATTTGACATCCCTGCCTCAGGGGACCTGGCCTCTTTGAGCACGAACTCGCACGCTATGCCCCGTTCCAGCCTCCAGCAGTGGCCGAGGGACGGCCTGAGCTTTTCCCCCGCCTGGGAGCTCCCAGAGGGCAGGCTGGGGGCCGAGGTGCACGGAGGGGAGTGGAGGACGGGCAGGGTGGCGGGGGCAGTTTGCCCTGCCGGGAGGAGCTCTGTCTCACTTTTGCCGTCTAGAGCTGCGGGCGCGAGGTGGTAATGAAAAGCAGGTGGACTTTTGGTAGGTTTTATCACAATTTGGAAATTCTCTACAGACCATGTTCCCACTTACTGCCTGAACTTGGGGTGGACACCTCCGGCTGCCCCAGCCCTCCGCCTTCACCCTTGCTGGGAGCTCCCTGGAGGCCGGATCTGGGTCTCCTCCTTCAGCTAGTTTGATGGCACAGATGAGGGGGCTGCACCCTCCCACCCCTCAGGGACACAACTGGCTCCGGCTCATGGTCCCTCGGCACTGGAGCCCAGACCCTGACACCTCTGGGCCCCCCCAGGGGCACCCCATCCTAGCCCTCACTTCTCTCAGGCCTCCCATCCCGTGGGGCCCTGCTCACCTCGTGAAGAGGACATCGGCCTCGTATTTGAGGTGGAAGCGTAGGAGGGCCGTGTTGTCTTCCTTGGTGCTCTCCTCCTCATCACTGTCACTGCAGGGACAGCCCCAGAGCCATCAGGAAGGAACTCGCTTCTACCAGCTCAGCCAGCACGCCCGACTGGCTCACTGCAGCCCCTCGAGATGGGCAAAGCAGGGGTTATTCCCAACCCACCTCCCAAGTTGCAGGTAAGAAAAAGAAAGGAGGGCTCAGAAAGGTTGAGTGAACTTCCCAGTGACACACAGCATGTACATGGTGCAACTGACAGCAGAACACTGACTGTCCTACTCCTTACCCAGTGTTCTTTCTGCCCTGGATTTCTCTCCCCTGGGAGGTTTTTCCATTTTATTTATTTATTATTTTTTTAAAGTTCACTTATTTAGAGAGAGAACAAACTGGGAAGGGGTATAGAGAGAGGGGGACAGAGGAGCTAAAGCAGGCTCCCTGCTGACAGTAGAGAGCCCGACGTAGGGCTTGAACTCACCAACTGTGAGATCATGACCTGAGCTGAAGTCTGAAGCTTAACCACCTGAGCCACCCAGGCACCCTGACATTTTTCTGTTTGAAAAGACCTCATTCCCCTTACTCCGTGAGCATATCTATCCCCCGCTTCACCTATCTTCGGGGGCTGCCGTGAGGACCGTTACATGTACAGTGCTTTGGAGCCGAAGGCTATAGAAACTGCTATATAACGGTGAGGGTGTTGCTATTTATGTCCGAGCTGCCCCAGACTGAAGAATGGCAGCAGCCTTGCAAGCGGCAGGTCGGCCTAAGCTGGGGGGGTGGGCGGGGAGCCCTCCCAGGTCAGGGCAGGGAGGGACTGCCTGGTGGGAATTCACTGGGCACAAGGAGGGGCTAGCGGGCCGGGAGCAGCACGGAGGGGAAGGAAGAAAGGGCGGGCGAGGCCCTGACCTGCCAGCCGCGAGCCGGATCTCCAGGTGGTGCAGGAAGACGGATTTGCTGAACTCAAAATCTAGGCGGAAAGCCACCTGCGAGGAAGAGGTCCAGTCGCTGGAGCTGGGGTGGCTGGGAACCGGGCGTCTGGGCCTGCCCTCCCTGCCCTCCCTTCCCCGGCCCCTGCCTGGGAGGGGAGCTCCTGATGGGAGGGGGGGGCCCTAGGGGGCGGGAGGGTCAGGTGCCTGCTGAGCTCAGGACCCTGGGAGGGGGCGGCCACGGACTGGACATGCTCTGCTGGGGTCTCTTGGCGGTGGGGCCAGCCCTCTCCTCCCCTGGCTTCCTTTTTATGTTTTCAATGACAGGCAACTAGAAGACGGGAGGCCCAACTTCAGGCTTCTGCAGGAGTCCCTGAGTGGGGAGGGGGGTGGCCACCGCCATGGGCCACAAGAGGAGGGGCCAGAAGTTAGTGGTAAGATGCGGCACCCGCCCCTTCTTCCCACAAGAAGATGAGGTGGGGTGAGGCCAGGAGAAGGGGGGAGGCTGCCTCGGGTCACCCAGCACGTTAATAAGGCATCTGCCTCCTGGTCAGCCATCCTGCCACCACTCTGATGGCCCGCTCCAGGGGCTTTGCCCGGGACCGGGGCCTGGGTCCCCTGATTGTCGCCCTGTGACCTCTGACCCTCCTTGCCACCTTCCGTCCCACTCTGGGGCTGTTAGTGGGACTTTCCACAGCCCTCTGTGCTTTTCCCAGGTCTGGGCTTCTTGGGTTTTCCTTAAGAGATCTTGGGGCCCCAGTCCTGACTTGTGTCCTTTGGCAAGGAGCCCTCGTGGCCCCCCATCTCTTGACCTATCTCCCCTCCTTCCACCAGCCTTGCAGACCCTGGTCCTGGAAACACGCTGCCACTCTCTAGCGAGCTCTTGCCTCAAGCTCTGATTCCTGCTCTACAAGCAGCCTGGTCTCAGTCGGGTCTTCTCTCGCTCCAGAACCTTCAGTGGCTGCCCACTGCCCAGCGGAGCGGGGGGAAAAGCCACACGATCTGGAGTCTGGAATGTGGAGATGCTCCCTTGGCAAATTTGCTTCTCTCCTCACACCCCCTACCTACTTTCAGGCATGTGGTATGTGCTCATGAAATGTGGACTTTTCTCCCAGTCTCTTGCCATGCACACAGGAGGACAACACAGGTTGGGCTCTGAGAAAATGTGTCAGGATAAAGGACAGCAGGGTTAAGTGGCCAAAAGGTCGGGGGGTGGGGGGCGACTGGTAGGGTCAGGTGAAGGGGCCTGAATGTTCTCTTGGGGTGGGCTGGCTACTTAGGTCATTTGAATGTCATTTCCTGGGCTTCTCCCTCCCTCCCCTGTTCTCCCCTCAGGTCACTTCCATTTCTCTGGCATCCCCAATGCCTCCCAGTCCCTGCCCGGTCCCGTTCCCACACGGCCCCCTGCCTCCACCTTGGCCTTGGCTCGGAAGAAGGGGTAGCTGACGTTGCAGACTTTCTTGTGGAGTCTCTTCTCCTCGTTCACACACTCGATGCTGCCGTCTGAGTCGTCCTGGAGTTGGGGGGGGGGACACCGTGGGAGCAGTTAGGTGGGCCGGAGACCCAGGGCTGGGGGCCCCCATGCCCCCTCCACCACCTATACTGAAGCTGCGGTTGGAAGGAAGCTGGGACCACAGGGGTCTCGGAGAAAGGGGTGGCGGTGGGTTTGAGGGGGAAATACCACCAGGCCCCCCAGCCTATCTGAGCTGGGGCCCCGCTGGGCTAGCATAGGTGTCTCCTCAACACAGGTCCTGAGGGAGGGGACTCACAGCACCCTCTAGATTCATGCTGCTGGGTGGCCGTGCACTCATCTGCTAGGGTCTCATTTTGCTTATCTGTGAAATGGGGATGACAGTACCTCCCTCATTTAGTTGCTATGGGCATTCAAGGATACAATGCATATAAACACAGGGCCTAGTTCAATGCCCAGCACAGTGTAATCGCTACCAGGATGATGCTTTGTACCTGCTGTGGGCTCTGCACCCTTGGGCCCGAAGCTGCATGCCTACGGAACGTGTGTGTTTCCTTGGATGGATATGTAGGTTGGGTATGTTTTACATATGTGTGCACAAAATGTATGTGATCAAACTAACACCTTTGTTTCCGGCTAAGGGGGTGCTTCCTCCACCAGAGTTCCCCTTGGCTGGATGGTGGGCATTGGGGAAGACTGGGGAGAGGAGAGCTGGTCTCCCAGCTGTGACCATCTCCTGGGTGGGGGAGGTAGGGGAGGCATCCTGTGAAGGGCCAGGAGCCTCCTCTCAGTTCTCGAAGCCCTCCTGCACCCCAGAAACAAAACCCCACGACTCCAGGCCCCTGGGGCCACGAACAGGCATGAGACTGTAATGTCTGGCCCAGGGAAGTGGTGAAAGGTAGATGTAGGTTTTGGGCTCAGTTTCCCCTAAGTACCCCAATTGAGACAGTTGCAAAAATCTCTGGGCAGGACAGGACTTTGAAAGGCCATCACGTGGCCTCCTCCCCTCCCCTCAGGGCTGTGGGGGGCGTGGCAGTGGGGCCCAGCCCTGGGCCGGATAGAGGGACCCACTGGTGGCAGTTCTGCAGTGGAGGTGAGGACAGAAGGGCCCCCATTCTGCCCCTCCCCACACTCTGGACTCCACATGGACACTTTGGGACCCCTGAGGGCAGAGGCTGTGTCTGAGGGGACCTGGGGCCCCTCAGCACCCACACATGACAGCAATGTCCTGGGTTTCTCAATAACCATGTCTCTGGGATTTCTCTCGTGCTCTGTGGGACTTCCAGGTTACAGCAGGCTAGCACTTGGGCACTCTGGATGTCCCTGGAGTACACACAGGGCTAGGCCCCCGACTTGCGTGGGGATGGAGGGGCTTGTGTGGCTTTCTGGAGCACTCGACAGCACATGACATGACTATGCTCTGCCGTGAGGATCCCCACTCTGCCACCTAGCAGCTGTGTGCTCCTGATGGGGCCCCGTAACGCCTCTCTGTGCCTCAGTCTCCTCCTCTGTGAAATGGTAACCAAGAAGAAACAGGAGGCTGTTGGGCAGAGGAGGGAGGGAGCCCAGGCAGGGGACCACGTGGCTAGGGCCTCAGGTGTGCTGGGAAGCAGCAGTGGCAGTGGGACTCAGGGTGTGGGCGTGAGCGCAGAGGTGGCAGGTGATGGATGGCAAAGTGGGATGGGCCTTGAGTGCCACAACAAAGGGTCTGGAATTTGTTGTGAAAGCAGCTGGGCATGATGGGAAACTTTAAAATGGGGAGTAGCCTGTTCTGATTCTTGTTAGAAGGGCCCTTTTAAGAATGCCTGAAGGATGAGTTGTAGGCAGAGGGTGTGTATGAATTGGTGTGCACACATATGGTGTGTGTGTGTGTGTGTGTGTGTGTGCGCGCGCGCGTGCGCATGTGCACACATCTAGCGAGGGCCGAGGACACAGGCCAAAGCTCATTCTTCCCCACGTTCCTGAATGGGTCAGACCCTGCTCTCCTGTGGTTCCCAACGCTGGCTACACACTCCCATGGCCCGGGCAGCGTTAAAAGCACCCTGTTGCAGGCCCAACCTCGGACCAGGTCGACATGAGTCTCCAGGAGAAGTCTGACCACAGGTGCTCGTAAGCCGGGCAGGCCCCTTGGCCAGGACCCTCCTTTCCTGCCTCTGCCCTCAGCTCAGGAAGGCCGGGCTGGTCACCAAACTCTCACCTTCTGGATCAAGCTGGCAAACTGCAGGTTTGCTGACTGCGAAATATTTAGGACGGTGCTATAGGCATTCTCGCCCCTGTTCTCCAGCATGGCCTCCACCGCCACCCGCCGGCGCGTGCTCTCTATGATGAAGACCGCGGTGTCGAAGGCGAGCGTGTAGGTGGAGCAGTCCAGCACAGGCTTCCTCAGCACCCTCTGGCAGTACTCCCTGCGGGAAACAGACACCCAGGGGTCAGGCAGATGACCTGGGGAATGCGGAGCTAGGCCTCCCCACTCACGTATCACTTCTCTACTTAGCATGTTTCCCTTTTGGCTTTGGCTACCCGGAAGCTCAGAGCCAAATGTCAAGACTATCTTGATTAGTAGCCTAGATGGATAGAATACTTGATGCTTCATCCTTCCCCAGAGTTTGTTTGTGCCATTTCTATTTATCATGCATGTCATTGTTTCTAAATATCTATCAGATATGTCTTCTATCTAAATATCTCAGAGTTGGGTAACAGTTGAGCATGAATTATTTAAGAACATATTATATAAATTTGAAATAGGACATTTTCTATTTCTTCCCCTTCTCTACAGAACTACAGGTCCTAGTTTCTGCCTTTAAAAAAATTTTTTTTTAATGTTTATTTTTGAGAGAGAGAGTATGAGCAGGGAGGGGCAGAAAGAGAGGGAGACACAGAGTCTGAAACAGGCTCTAGGCTCTGAGCTGTCAGCAGAGAGCCTGACGTGGGGCTCCAACTCACAAACTGCAAGATCATGACCTGAGCCGAAGTTGGACACTTAACAGAGTGAGCCACTCAGGTGCCCTCTAGTCTCTACCTTTTATCTGCTTGGTAATGAAGGTTCCAAAGAAAGGATTCCTTTTCCTTAATAAAGTTAGAGGAGGTTGGATAGACTAGTAGTTTTCATTTTACAGAGGAACTGACAGAGGCCCAAAGAGGGAAGGGACTTGCCTGCGGTCCCACAGGAGTTAGAGGCAGAGCCTGGGTCTAGCCCAGGCTCCAAGTTCAGTGTTTGATCCATGCTGCCTGCAAGAAGGCTCCCTCACCAGCGGTGGGGGAGGGGTGGAGGGTGGAAAGGAGTCAGGGTGCGGGCAGGGAAGGGCCAACTCACATGGCTGTGGGCAGGTCACTGCGGGCATCCAACAGCAGATCAGGGACACAGTGCTCATCCTCACTGCAGCCGTTCCAGAAGGGCACCTGGGCCAGGGAAAGCCAGGGAAGGTGGGTGGGTGGCCCTTTTTCTGGGGGCCATCCCTCACCCTGCACAGCACACCAGCTCTTCTCTCTACAGCTCTAGATGTAGGCTTTGTCTTCTCTGCCCTTCTCACAGAATCCACCCTGCCGTTTCTCATGCTTTTGCCTAGGTACTCCCTCCTCTAATACATGGCTCAAAACGCAGCTCCTTTTGGGTCGCTTTGAGGTTCTCAACTGAGCCAGTAGCACAGAACACCCACCCACCCCACAGGGTGACTCCAGTCCACATTTGCCGATCATCTGTGAGGGGGGCAAGGTCTTAGGTACTGGGGATACAGGCTGAGGAAGACAGCTTCTGCTCTCAGCTCATGGGGAAGCATTGGTGTGTGAACAAATAATTATAGTGTGAAATGTGAAAAAAAAAAAAGAGAGATCTATAAGAGGGATAGGAGAGGCAGAGAGGAGGCCTGTACATGGTCAGCCTTCAGGGAAGACCCAGTAGGTCAGAATTCTGAAGGATGACCAAGTAGCTGGATGACCAGAGGGACAGGGAAGTTGGGAGGAAGGAAGCCTGTGTAAAGGTCCTGAGGCACGAGGCAGCATGGTGAGTTTGGGAAACGACTGGTGGTTTGGTGTTGCTGTCGTGTGGGGTGGAGACGACCGAGAGGTGGGTGGGGCCAGTCTTTACAGGGCCACGGGGTCATGCCTTGCAATGGACAGGAGTCATTGACTGCTAGGCTTTGGGGTGTGGGGGGCGCCTGTCGGGCATACTGGAGGCTCCTGCTAGCTACTGGGGGTGGATGCACTGGAGGGATCAAGGCTAGAGTCAGGGAGACCGCTGGGGAGGCTGCTGCAGTGTTTGTGCAAGAGAAGATGATGATGTTGGAGGGGTCCTGGGTGTGGAGAGGAGACAGTGGGGTAGGGCCGCCAGAGGTGGGTCCCTAGGGCCTGGAGTTCATCAGAGATAAGGGGGCTAAGGGCCCAGGACAGTGGCCGAGTTTCTTTGTCCGTGTGTGGAAGGATGGCTCATTTATATAGGGCGGGGTCAGGCTGAGTTCAGCTCTGGGGGATGCTGAGTCTGAGAAGCCTGGGTCCTTCCAGGACAGAGGAGTGCCACTGTCCCTACCAAGGACACAGCCTAGACCCAGGGGAGGGGAAACAGGTGTCGCAAAGGCCACACGTATCTGAAATTCATGAGCTTTTCTCAAAGGTGAGCTCCTTGCTCGGATCCACAGGCTCGTGCGTGGACACGCCTCCCTCAAGCACAGCCCTCAGGTCAGCTGCCCCATGGCGAATTCGCAGCTAGAGGCAGGCATGCGGCAGCCAGCAGAGAGGGCAGCGGAGCAGGACAGTGAGGGGCAGCGCGAGGCCGCGCAGTAAAGGGACACAGCATAGAACACTGTGGCAGGGGCGCCTGGGGGCTCAGTCACTTGAGCGTCCAACTTCAGCTCAGGTCATGACCTTGCCGTTCGGTGGGTTTGAGCCCTGCGTCCAGCTCTGTGCTGACAGCTCAGAGCCTGGAGCCTGCTTCAGATTCTGTGTCCCCTTTCTCTCTGCCCCTCCCCTGCTCACACTCTGTGTCTCTGTCTCAAAAATAAATGAACATTAAAAAATTAAAAAAAGAAAAAAACACTGTGGCAGCCCTGGGGGGGGGGGCCTCGCTGTACCTTGGCACCCACATTCCCCTTGGTGATTTCAAGTCTCTGATGAGACCTCACCCCCACCCTGCCTGGCAGGCTATGTAAAAAGTGTGAAAACTGTATTATAACCTTCAGAAGCATTTCCATCCAGTTGATTAAAAGGAATAATTAATGTGATAAGCAACTGCTACACTCAATTATGTGGAACAGCTCATTCCCCTAGGAGGCCGGCTACCGCAGCGCTTGAATGGCGCAGGGCACCTAGCAGATGCTAAGGAAGAATCTGTGGAAGCGCAATGGGCGGAAATGTTTCTCCTTTGCTGGAGACTGGGAACGAAAAATCCAGACGAACGAGATTTTTAGAAATTTAGCTGCCAGTCCAAGCCGTCAATAATATGACCTAAATTGCCTTTTCCAGCTCTCTTTCTCCTTTACATTTTAAAAATGTTTATTTATATTTGAGGGGGAGGGGAGGAGCAGAGTGGGAGACACAACTGGAAGCAGGCTCCAGGCTCCGAGCTGTCAGCACAGAACCCGACACTGGGGCTTGAACTCACAAGCCATGAGATCATGACCTGAGCTGAAGTCGGACACTGAATTGACTGAGCCACTCAGGCACCGCAGCTCTATTTCTCCTTTTCTTTTTATATATCCCTTCAATCTGCTTTTTAGAAAAACTTATTTATTTTGAGAGAGAGAGACAGAGAGAGTACAGGTAAGCAGTGGGGGAGCAGAGAGAGAGAGAGGGAGAGAGAGAGAGAATCCCAAGCAGGCTCCCCACTGTCAGCACAGAGCCCAATGCAGGGTTTGATCCCACAAACCGTGACCTGAGCCAAAGTCAAGAGTCGGATGTCCAACTGACTGAGCCACCCCCAGGCGCCCCCAGCCTGCTTTTTTCACTTCCATCCTTTGGATATACTGTCAGCTCCCCTAGAACAAAAGCCCACTCTTCCCATTTCTGCATATCTGAATCTGGTCTATTCTTTAAGGTCCAGCCGACAGTCACCCCTTCTAGGAAGCCTCCCTGCCCTGTCATCTGAATACCCTGTCACACCACCTCTGAGCTCACCCTCATCATCGCCCTGGCCTACAATGCGTCCTGCCACCTTGCATGGGTATCATGAGTTGGGCAGAGAGTGCCTTGCGTGTCACTCTCTGTCATGGGTTCCCCCATGCTTGTAGAGTGAGTGGCAGGTTCTCATTCATTTGCTGGAGTGGCTCTGTGATTACTGTGACGAGGAAAAACAGGAATGACTCAGTGTGCCACCTCTTCTCTCCCGGCTCCCTGATGGGGACTCTAGCTTTGCCAGCCCATTCCCCACCTTCTCGAACTGCATATGATAACCTCTCTTACGTCCATGATGCAGAATCTGGAGAAAGGAGTGAAGGTGTGAGGGTTGAGGGCTGGGTGGTAGAGTCTGGAAGGTTTGGGAAGGTGAAGGAGGAGGAGTGGAGGGGAAGGCAGGGGTTCCTGGGCGCAGAGACAGGATTTCAGAGGCCTCGCTGTTGGCTATGCGACCCTTTCATGTTGGAGAGATTCAAGCGAGAGTGTGAGTGAAGTTGTCGTTTGCCAGCTGGAGTCTATAAAACTAGAAAGCTCTCAGAGACTGGCGCTCACAGGTCACAGGCTGCAGAGCATTGTGGCGAATGTTAATGTTGTTCCCCGAATCCTCAAGCTTTGGGAATTAGATATTACGTGTTACAGATCTTGCCTGCTCTCCCGGCACAGCTCCGACAGAATTAAACTGTGACCTTCTCTTTGGGTGGGATTTGGGGGGTAGGTGGAGGTGTGGGGAGCATGTGAGCATTTGATACCAGAACGTTCTGATGCCCCTGGAGCAAGGCGTTAGGGAGGGTGGTTGAGGGGGCTGAGGGGGCTGAAGCACAGCTGCAGAGCAGGTTCTAGGGCTGCTTGGGCCTCCAATGCCCTCACCTGTAAACGAGGGAGGTGGCTGATTGAGACCTAAGGTCCCTTCAGGTTCTGTGATTCTCTGGGACCTACTGAGTGCTCACCCTATGCTGCGGATATGGTGCCCCTCCTCCCAGAGAGGCCGGGCCTTCCCCGTGGCACGTTCAGCTGGGTCACAAGGGAGCAGGGATGGAGTCGTGTTGTGGGTTTGGCAGGCAGGACAGGGGAGGGTGCGGCAGGGGAAAAACTCTGTAGGGCCCTGGGCTTCGGAGAGGAGGTGGGTGTGTGGTGGGGGTGCTGACTGCCAGGGTTGTGCGCCCCACAAGCCGGAGTGTACCGAGACACGGAGGGTGGTGGGCCAGCCGTCGTCCAGCACGGGGCCGTGGTCTGGGTCCTCCAGGGAATACTCAACTGAGAAGGTCACCGGCTTCACATAGTCAGCAGTGTCCTGTGTGGGAGGAGATGAGGGCCCGGGCATAGTTGGTAAAGAAGGGGATGCTTAGAGATGCCCACAAAATCTCCCGTGTGGACCCCGGATGCTGACGCGAGTGGCTTCTTTGTATCAAGGCGGCAGCTCTTGAACTGGACTTGCATCCCCAGCGGCGGGGAGGGGGTGGCAAAACCCTGAGTGCTGAGCCCAGCCCCTAGTTTTCTGACGCTGGCAGGTCTGGCCTGGGGCTTGGAAACATGCATTGCTAACGGGTCCCCATATGACTGGGGATGCCACTGGCCCGGGGGACCACACTTTGAGAACCAGGACACAAACACCTCAGAGGGGGGCCACGTATTAGCTGACACAAGGACTTCCCATATCCATTCACTTCTCTGGCTTGTGGCCTCTGAGAAGCCCCCCACCGCCCAAGGCTGGAGCACTGGTCTGGATATTTGGAGTTTCCGGATAAGGCACACGTCTCATCCTCTTCCTCATCCATGCACTCAGTCACCAGGCCACCACGGGTTCCCCGTCTGGGCCAGGCTGACCGCTCTCACTTCCTCCTCCCTGCGTGTCCCCACTGCGGGACTGTCCTACCTGGTGGTTCATCTTTAACCGATGCCTGGTTCCATCCCCTCCAGCCATGGCCCCCGCCGGCCGACCCCCCATTCCCTTCATGAGCCTTCACTGAGCCCACCTCCCTCCTCAGATTTCACCCTCTCCTAAGGGAACAGCGGGCATTGGAGAGCAGGGGAAGAAGGGATTTTGGAGGCGGGTACCTCGAGGTGGTAGATAGTGTGGCCCAGTCGGGCATGAATACGGGGGCCGGGGCAAGGTCTGGGACTCTGTTCCCCGGCGGGGCCTCTGCAGGCCTGCGAGGGGCCTGGAACCAGCCTCTCCCATGGCAGCACCTCATTCCACTGTGTGCCCTCCCTGTTTGACCTTGGTCTCTGCTGGTGGGGCCGCCGGGCGTCAGGCTCACCAGGACATGGAAGCTGATCCGCTCACAGAGCTGCTGGCTGGAGGAGAGCAGGGCAGCTCGGTTGGTGTACCGGTCCCCGCCCTCGTCCAGATGGGCCCGCGGCGTGTACCGCCTCTCATCCATGGTGGCATTGTATGTGATGCCTGGAGGAGGGACACGGCAAGACCATGAAGGTGGAGCCACAGCTGCACCCAAGACTCCGCCGGTCTTTTAAGAGAGCCTCCGGAAAGCCAGGCTCCTGCAGGAAGCCCTCCAGGCTGGCCGGGGAAGAGCTGCTCTTCTCATGAGGCCCTAGTGTGGGGTGGGAAACTCCAGTGCAGGGAAAGAAGGGGCAGGTGGGGCTGCCAATGAAGGGAAAGAGCAAGAGACAGAGATGCAGGAGAAATGACGGTGGTGGAAGAGAGCGAGAGGCCAGGGTGACACCCTCGTTCACCTGGATGGCCCCACCTTTCCCTTCCCAGGTCCTGGCAGGCATGGGTCAGCCTCCACAGGTGCGGTTCCCACCCCAGGAGCCTTCCCACCAGCTGCTCTCACCTGAGACTCTATCTGCTCTGGGGTTTAAAGCCCGCAGCCTCCTTCCCTTTAACTGGGCTAATCTTTTGCCAAGTCCAGGAAAAGCTTCATCTCTCTCCCTGTACCCCAGCCAGCCCTCCGGGTGCACCAATGCCTTGCACCTTTCTCCTTTTATAGACAGAAGTTGGAAGAACAGCACAGCCACCCAGGCTCACCTTTACCTCTCCCCCACCCATCCAGGTGGGCCCTGCTCCTTGGCTGAGAAGCTTTCAGAAATCCCGATGTCCTGCATGGGCCCCAGTCCGGTCCCAAAACCTACAGCTGCCACTTCCTGGGGCCATGTGGGTCCAGGGCTGCTGGGAGTAGGTGTCTGGCTCAGAGGGGAACTGCCCTACCCTAGACTCATACCCACTGTGAGCTGTGACCACTGCTACTGGGGTTTCGTCTGTCTGACCCTCCTGTTTCCTGCTTCCCCTCCTGGGTCTGACTCTTCCTCTGCATCTCGGCTGCCCCCGTTCCCTGTGTTCCTCCAAGCTTTGCACCCCAACTATTTCCCTCTTCCCCTGGCCTCTCTCCTATTGGTCACTGCTGCTCACTGCCACCCCCGCCCTGGCACGATAGCCCCTTTTGGCTCCTTGGAATTAGGTCATCGAATGCAGTCATCAAGGTGGCTCAAGGTGTGACCTGGCACTTAAAACCTATTTCGGTGAAAGCCCAGGTTTCGAAACAGAACCACCCCGAAGCCCACAGGGGAGATTGGGGCTGGGGGAGCAGGGAGAGGCCTGGTTTACCGACTGTGTCCGTTTTGAAATGGGGTGCCAGGAACACGGGTGTGAAGCAGAGGAAGGCAGCCAGGCAGGTGGCGTCCCTGCCGCTGCGTTTGCAATCCCTGTGGAAGATGTTGATCTTGGACGGCTCGAAGTGGAGGCTGGCATTGATCTGAACCACAGGACGGGACCTGGAGCAGAAGAAGGACAGGCGTGTGGCTGCTGCTGGAGGTGGGGGTGGGGAGCAGGGGAAAGGGAAGCAGATGGAAATGGAATCTGGAAAATCTTGAGGGAGGCAGGGAGGGGCCCCAGATGTTAAGGTACTGGGCAAAACAATGACGGGTGGGTGGAGGGCAGGCACATGGCTCTTAGAGGCACCTCTTCATCATTGCCCCGGGGGGCATTGCCCCTGGGACAGCCATTAGAATAATCTGGAGAGCTGTAAAAAAAACCCTGATGCCCAATTTGCCCTCCAGAGCAAATGGAATCAGAATTGGCATCAACATGTCCAAAGGCAGTGCTTCTCAAATTTTAATATGCTTGCACACCTCTGAGGGATCATTAAAATGCAGATCCTCACCCAATAAGTGGGCACCGGTTCTGTATTTCCAGTAAGCCCTGGGCGAAGCTGTGGCTGTCGGCCCAGGCCCAAGCTTTGAAGAGGAAGGCGCGTAAGCTCCCAGGTGATTGCCATGTGTGGCCCTTAAAGCAGAAAACCATTCGCTGTTCTAGAGATTCCCCAACTATCCACGCCACACGACCCTCTCCAAGCAGTCATGGAAATACAAATGTATTCTTCTATGGGTCTAAGAAACACGTAATCAGAGAAGGAAATGTACCAAGTGCCTCTCCACACCACACATTTATATAAAAAGAAGGAAGCGTAGCGAGATCTGTGCTAATGCCCTGCGCTTAGCATAAGGAAGCTGGTGTCCACCCTGCGCTGGGCCCTGGAGAGGGGGGAATTGGGTCTCGGTTCCACTGGTTCCTCATGGACCTTCGGCAGGTCACATGACCTCTCAGAGGAGGAGGTGAGAGTCAAAGGAGGTGTGAGGGGGCCCTTTGTGTCAAGTGTAGAGTGTTTTGTGAGCATAATAGCTTCTGTTAGTGGTTCTCAAACTCAGCTGCCCGCTGGAAACAGATACCTGGGGCATCTTTAAAGTTTACTGCTTGTCTGGGCCCCTTCCCTAGGTGTTCTGGTTTACGTGGTCTGGCTAAAGCCTGGGCTGCAAGAGTTTGAAAAGCTCCCCATTTTGTGACAACATGGATGGCTGTAGAGGGCATGATGCTAAGTGAAATAAGTCAGACAAAGACAGATACCCTGTGACTTCACTTACGCGTGGAATCTAAACAGCAAAACAAACAAATGAACAAATAAAAGGCAGGATTAGACCTATAAATGCAGGGAGCAAACGGAAGGATGCCAGAGGGCAGGGGGAGGGGCAGTGGGGCAGAATGGGGGAAGGGGAGAGGGTGGTACAGGCTGCTGGTTGGGGAATATATACGAGGCTCCCCCACATACGCTGCTCTCCCTCCTCGCCCTGCAGTGGTCTGTTGCAAGATGCAGAGGTGTATCCTGCCTCACTGGAGAGCAAGACCGTGAGGCCTGGCTCACACCTGCTCCCCTTTCCTGCTTCAGCATCCCAGACCCTCCCCTCTGCCTCTGGGATGAGGCCCTTCCCCAAGCATTAGCATGGGCTCTAGTCTGAGGCTCTGTTCTCTAGGGAACCAGAGTGAAGCCATCTCCCAACAGGGCTGTAATATTCTTGATGATTGAGAGTATGTCCACTCCTTTATTCCCACCCCCTGGGGAGTCGTTAGGTTACCTCTGTTTCATGCCTTTTTTAAATAGTATGAAAAATGAGTCTGTGTTTATATAAAATTACATCCAGGTGGAAAAAGATGGGTTGGAAATAGGCCAAAAGGCTAACAGTGGTGATGTTAAGTGGATGAAGCCCTGAGCGATTTTTTTCTTTACTTTACAATTTTCTTTAAGTTATTGGATTTATAATGAAAAATAGCTCATCAACATATATGAACAATTAAACCTTTTTCTGTCTCAAAAGGTAGACAACATATCCCATGGCAAAATATACCGACTTTTAGAAAGCTCCTTTTTTTTTTTTTTTCAGCTGTAGACTGTTGGTGCTAAAGAGAGGCCCTGAGTGCAGATGGGTGGTAAATATCTGATGGGCTTGTGTAGGAATGAGACCCTGAGAAAGGAAAGAAGAAGTCCAAAAGGGTTTGGAGGAAAGAAGTCTCTGTATTCTGCAATGATTCTTTCACAGGAGGGGAAAAGGGAGACGTGCCAGCTGATAAGAATATCCTCAACCTGTCCTTTAAGTGGCTTGAAAAGCTGAAGCTGAAGAAATGCCCAAACAGCCAGAACTTTTAGGACAAATTCTAAGAGGGGCTTTTGGACACTCTAATCTTAGAAATCTGTTGGGAAGAGGGATTTGGACATCAAGAGGCTTACAGTGATTCCACAGAAAGGAAATTTGTAATCACAAAAGGATTAAGCACGGGGTGAGTTTGGCTGACAATGATTAAAGACAAAGGGACAAAGGTCCCGGAGAATATTTTTAAAACCCAGGGTCTGGGTGCCTGGGTGGCCCAGCCAGTTCAGCATCTGACTCTTGGTGGCTCAGGTCATGATCTCAGGGTCGTGGGAGGATGGAGCCCTGTGTCAGGCTCTGCATTGAGTGTAGATCCTGCTTAAGATTCTCTCTCCCTCTGTCCCTCCTCCCTGCTCTCTCTCTCTCCCTCTCTCTCTAAAATAAATAAAAACAACAGACACCCCCCCAACCCTGGTGTGTCCATCCTGACCCTCAGTGGAGCCCGAGAGCCGAGAAAAGCAGAGGAACCCACCACAAAATCACGGCATTGCCAAGGGCGCCCACCGCCAGGTCGACCAGCCCATCCTCGTTGAGGTCCAGTTGTCCGTGGATGCTGCAGCCAAAATACTGGAGGCCGGGAACCAGGTCGGAGGCGGCGATTCTCTGCAGGCAGTGGGAAGAGAAAGCCAGGCATGGGCACTGCCCACACAGGGCAGGGCAGGACAACCCTCAGGGAAGCTACAGTTGGGAGCGTGGGAGAGAGCCCTTTTGGAGCCATCAGGAAGCTTCCCCCAGCCCAAAGCCCAAACAGACCCCTCTCGCGGTCTGTTACAGCACCTACTGTCAAGTCATTCTTTTGGATTGAGATATCGCGTCTTACAAGGGTTCCCCCACGGTACCTGGCAGGTTACCCATCGGCCTCTCTGACTGTGGTGTGTTAGGCTACCTTACTAGGAAAGTATGCAGGCAAATATGAGGACCCTGAGGGCATGGGGCCTGAGATGGGTCCCTCTTGATGTGGGCAAGGTTTCCAGCATGTGGCATTTCCCGAGAAGAGCAAGCCCACGTGGGAATTCTCCACTCTCCGACAACCGCCTGCACCTGTGCGCTGGGGGAGTGAGGTTACGGTGCCTGGGGGTTTGTTGTTGCAGGGGGAGATACAGCTACCCAGGGAGAGGGTGTCGCAGGGGTGATGGGAAGGTCCCGAGGACAGGTGCACCCATTTCAAAACCCTGAGTTGAGGCCGCTAGAGCTGGGCCAGACCGGAGTCCTTTCCTGCAGGAGGACACGGAGGAGACCCCTGAGCCACCAGGACTCCTGGTCCAGCCCCAGCCTGGACGGGAGCGGCACCTGCTTCGGCGTCTTTAGGAGGCTGGCTCGGAAGCCGTGGAAGATGTAGACGGCTCCTCCGTGGTGGTCCTCCAGGGGCGCTCCCACCACCACGTCGTTGTAGGAATCTTGGTTGAGGTCCCGAACCGAGGCGATGGAGGACCCGAATCGGGCATTCTGGTAGCTGTGGGCATCCTTCAGTGTTCCGTTATAAACAAATCGGTTCTGCAACACCAGGGGCGGAAAAAGGCTCCGGCTCAGGGGCAAGGGCCCTCAGGGTCACGGTCCCCTCTGGTCTGCAGCACCTGGTCCCCACCCCATTTCCCCTGGAATTCCTGCTCTCCCCGGCCTGGCTCAGTGGGTGGGCGCTGGCCGCTCTGGTGGAGCCGAGGCAGGGGCGAGGCGCCTCGGAGGGCTCCTCCCCCACCCCCCCTGCCCCCCGCAGTAGTACCTGTCTCAGGTTGTAGACGTACACCCGGCCCCGCTCTCGGCCCTCGCTGAAGTACATGGGGGCGCCCACTAGCAGGACGTCAGTCACCCCGTCGCCGTCGATGTCCACCGAAGTGATCTCGCTCCCGTAGTAGGAGCCTATCTGCAGCACAGGGGTGGGGGAGGGCAGTGGGCGGGGCTGCGCAGGCAGCTGAGCCCGCCCTTCCGCTCCGAACTTGGGTCAACAAGGACAGGGCCCTCCCCTCCTCACCCCCCTCTACCCTCCCGTGGGCCGGACTCACCTATTTTCACCTCGTCCCATCTTTCCCTTCCCTCTTTCCTCGTGTGTGTGTGTGTGTGTGTGTGTGTGTGTGTGTGTATTTATTTATTTTGAGAGAAAGAGAGAGAGTACATGCATGAGCAGGGGAGAGGCAGAGAGAGAGAGAGAGACAGAGAGAGAGAGAGAATCCCAAGCAGGCTCCAAGTTGTTGGTGTGTGTGTGTGTGTGTGTGTTTATTTATTTATTTTGAGAGAAAGAGAGAGAGTACATGCATGAGCAGGGGAGGGGCAGAGAGAGAGAGAGACAGAGAGACAGAGAATCCCAAGCAGGCTCCAAGTTGTTGGTGTTGAGCCCCACTTGGGGCTCAATTTCATGAACAGAGATCATGACCTCAACCGAAATCAAGTCAGATGCTTAACTGTCTGAGCCACCCAGGCGGCTCTCCTTTTTTAAAAAAGTGTTTTTTATTTTGAGAGAGAGACAGAGCAGAGAAGGGGCAGAGAGAGAGAGAGAGAGAGAGAGAGAGGAGAGAGAGAGAAAGAGAGAGAGAGAGAATCCCAAGCAGGCTCCATGGTATCAGCACAGAGCCGAATTTGGGGCTCCAGCCCATGAACCGAGATCATGACCTAAGCCAAAATCAAGAGCCAGACGTGTAACTGAGCCACCCAGGCACCCCGTCCCTCTTTTCTCCTTCTGTCATCCCACCCCCCCTCCACCTCATCTTTCTTTCCATTGGTTAATTTTATGGATTGCCATTTATTCTGTTTGTAAGCAGTATGTTATCGTGGCAAAAATGAGCGAAATTAGAAAAAGGTATGAAGAAGAAAATAAAAGTCACCCATTGTCTGAACATCCGACTATGACTCCCATGCTATAACCTTTTAGTGTATTTTCATCAAGTCTGTTTTGTCTAGAGTGTGTGGCTTGTTTACGTGTGTGTGTGTGTACGGTTTAATTTTACAATCTGGGATCATACTATATACACAGCTTATATATGATTTTTAAATACAGTAATGGATCATGAGCACTTTCTCCATCATGTCCTACAACACGATCACTGGCAGTTTTATGTTTCAAATTAAGCATATGTGCCACATGTATAATCAATTCTCTTGTTGGACATTTGGCTCATTTCAACTTTTTAAAAATATTTTGAGTTTATTTATATTTTGAGAGAGAGAGAGAGAGAGAGAGAGAATCCCAAGCAGGCTCCGTGCTATCAGTGCAGAGCCAGACGCGGGACTCGATCCTGAGAACTGTGAGATTATGGCCTGAGCCAAAACCAAGAGTTGGACACTTAACCCACTGAGCCACCCAGGTGCCCTGAGGCTCATCTCAAATTTTAATGTTACAAATATCCTGGGATTAGCAGCTTGGATGGGAGATGATGTTTTCTTCTCAGCATGTGAGCTGAGCCCTCTGTGTTCCTCTCTCACCTTGGGGGCCTTGCCCCCCACTTCAGTGAGAGGGCCGCCCACCTATTCAGTCAGAAAGCTGAGGGTCCTTCCCAGCTCCACTGCCACTTCTCTCACTCACAGCTTCCCAGAGAGCCCTGCCTGGTATGCACCAAACACATCCTGAGTCCGTCTTCTTCCCTCCCATGCTGCCTCTTCCCCAGGAGAGGCACCTGCTGAAGGCCCCCCGCCCACCCCCTCTAGTCCACCCCCGTGGGCAGCCAGAATGGCTTCTAGAAGCAGACTACACCACTCCTTTGCTTTTGGAGGGGTGCAGGGGAAAGTCCAAATTCCTACCGTGTGACCCTGCTGGACCTGCCTCCCTCTCTCCCTGGCCTCTGCCTCCCCCTTGCCCCCCGCCTCCCCACACCTCCAGGTTCCCACATTCACTCCTGACATTCCCAGTGATTTCTTCCAAAGCCCCAGGCCATGGCTGGGTCCCAGGCTTCCTTCTGCACATTCTTTTCTCTTGTCTGCCCCGCTCCCCCCGTCTCTACCACCCTCAGGTCACTTCCTGTTAGAAGCTGGCCCCGGCCTGCAAGGGGTGCCCCTCCACAATCACCCCCGGCCCTGTACTAGCACCTGTTTGCCACCCCTGCCCAAGAGTGGCATGCTGTGCCTGCTGCGTCCCTTCCAGGCCTGGGCATAGATAATAATATAACAGATATAATAAATGTTTATTGGACCAATGGATTGCTTAGGAAGGATGGAGTCCCTCCCAGAGACAGGCCTGTGTGACACGCTTTATAGCCTCAGGTTAGCTTGTGTGAGCCTCATGCTACCTTAGGAGAGATCACCGTCCTCATTTTACAGGGAACGAACTGAAGCTCAGCGAATTTGAGTTACTTGCCCAAGGTCAGAAGGCTGGCCGCAGCCAAACTGGGTTCAAACCCGGTCTGACACCCGAGCTGGTGCTACTCCCTCCCCCGGCCACCTCCTGGCCTAGGGTGATTTCAGGAGAAATCCATCCTCCAGGATTAAAAGCCTTTAAGTGAGGAGAAAGAGAGAAAATGCAGAAGAGAGGAAAAGGGAGATCTAAACACAGGGTGGGGGAGGGAAGAGATATCCCCACCTAAAGCAATTAAGAGGCAGACAGAGAGCAAATAAGGGAGGAGTGGGGGGAGGCATTTGTCTAAATATGTGGCCTCAGCTATGTGGGTCACGGTGATTTGGAATCCACTTAATTTAGCTGCCTTCAGCACTGCGGTTTCTCGTTCGGATGTTGGAGGCGGAACCGGGCAGTAAAAATGTCATAAATTCATCAGCAAATTCCCTCCAGCTCTCAAGGTCTAGCCTTGGATTCCTGGAAGAGCCAGCAGTGGGCAGAGTGTGGGCAGGGACGGAGCAGTGCCCGGGGTCTGCCAGGGCGCTGGAGATGGGAGGGGGAAAGAGAATCATGGCTTCCTGCAGCTGGAGGGACTTCTGTTAGGGACCCAGGGAGGAGCCTGTCCTCATGGAGACAGGCCAAGGACAGGGGGCAGGGCTGTTCCTGGGCTCCACAGAGCCGAGGCTGAGCTGGGAATGATGGGAAGGGCCTGGCTAGGGCCCAGCCCACGCCCAGGGTGCTGTGGATGCTGAGTGTGGCCAGGTCAGGGTAAGGGTGGGGGAACCTGGTTTGGGGCTGTCAGGGGTCAGGAGGCAGTAAGAGTCCTGGATTCTAACCCTGACCCAGCCTTGAATCCACTGCATAACCTTGGAAAAGGGATGTGGTGTCTCAAGAACAGTTTCTCTCCACTGTTGGAATGACTTGGATCAGAAGAACCCTGTCTCCCGATCTTTCTCACCAGGGACTCTTATCAGAGCTTTTCAGTTGGCATTTGTGACCACCCAACATGATACTCTTAGCAACACAGTCTGGTTCCCACCGCGGCCCAGGCGGGGCAGTGGTACTGACGGCTGGACCCCTCTGCGCTCTTGCCATTCCAGGCACAGGGAAGGAGCCTGGGTCCTGGTGATCCCATGGGGTCTCGCTGTGGGTGCGTGTGCAGATGCTCCTCCTTCTGGGAGCATGAAGGTGGCGTGAGGCGCATGACCATCCCCCTGGGGTGTCTAGGGGCCCTGGCGGCCCTAGCTGGGAGGCCTAGGTGCTGCCTCTACCCCTGAACTCTGGACGTGAACAGAGAGAAGCTGGCAGCCAGGGGCAGAGGGCTGGCAGTGCCATAGAAAGAGGCAAGCACATTGTCCCAGGTCCTGGCTGTCACAGGGGCCTGGCTTTCTGGGGATGAGGTGGTCCAGCCTCGAGGCTGGTGTGACCCCCAGCCCGGAAGGATGGCTGGGGAGGAGGAGCTGAGCTCTGGTGTCCCCTCCAGCCCAGCCTTGCCCGCGTGCCCTCCCTCTCCCCCGCCCCTGCCCCCACCCAGCCTCTCCCTCCGTTACCTGCTCACCCCTCAGGGCCTGGTGGATGGTGAGACTGCGGTTGTTGTGCATGGTGAACAGGATGGCTTTGCCCGTGTGGTTGAACCGGGGCGCTCCCGCCACGTACACCCGCCCCTGCCTGGAGGACACGACCGACGTGACTGTGTACCCTGCCACAGGAGGAAACAGGCTGGTCTCGGCCCCAGCTCCTGGGTTGCGCCTGAAGACTGGCCAGCCCCGGGGAGGGTCGAGCGGAGGCGAAGCCGCGGAGTGGTGTTTCCCAGGAACAACGGGGGAGGCCTGGGAGAGGGCTCAGGAGGGGGGTTTGGAGGCTGGGGAGAACTCACGTGCCCCTCCCCCCCACTGGAGGGGGCCAAGGAAGCCAGGTGGGGCTACAGGCACTGCTGACCTGGGACCTACATGTGCCCTCCTTCACCCGCACCCCCGAGACGCGCGTGAGGGAGCAGGGAGGAGGGAGGTGGTGAACCCCGGCTGCAATTCTTTCCGTGTTGGGGAGGCTTTGATTTTGATCTCCACCAACTGTCTCTCTCAGGGACCTGCCAGTGTCCTCTTCAATACTGCAACCTGCTGCTGGGTGGTCTGGAAGAGTATAGCATTGGCCGTCCAGGTGTAAGGAGCCGCCTCCTGGGCATCACCGTGGGGTCCCCTCGACTCTTGTGGCCCCAGAGCTTTGCGGCCTCCAAGGATGGAGCCCCCTCCTCTCGGTCCCACACAGACACCACGTATAGAAGGAGGAAATGGGAACCGGGAGCTCTGTTGGAAAGGCCGCCAATCTGCGTTCTCAGGATGGTTTTGCCCCATGGCTACCCAGCACCCCAGAGCCCCACTTTCTGCCAGACGGTTGGGACCGGATCCCAGATGCCTTGTCAGTGGTTCTGGGCAGTGTCCTGGCAATGGGATGTCTCTTTCTGCCATGTGCCCGTGTGCCCGTGTGCCCGTGTGCGTATGTGGGCAACACCACCACTTCGGTTCCACCAGTGACCTCTGTAGTGGCTGCAGGATGCATAGACGCGGTTGATTCAGTGGCTGGGAGAAGGGGTGCAGAAGGGTGAGCTACTCTGGTTCCAGACACAGTGTTTTTGACTCTTAAAGGTATCTCGTGGGAAATGGGCTTGAAGGTGAGGCCAGAGTATTGCATAAGCTGACACGGCAGTGTGTTAACACAACCACAAACACACGAGGGCAGGGTGGGATCAGCCATGGGGAGAGGGGCCGAGGTTGCTTCTGAGCCCTCAGTGCTACTGCTGAAAATGTTCTCATTTAGCCCTGGGCTTTGGGCTTCCTAAGAAGGAGCCACAGCGGTGGTCGTGGGAGGGGCTTGGGGGTCGAATGTCCTAGGGACAGGCGTGGGCCGTCTCTCAAAGCAACAGGCCGCATTGAGAACTTCCTGCTTCCCACAGTCTGCTGGCTATAGCTTCAGTTTCCATGTGGTCCTTTGGCCAGCAGGCAGGGCCATCCTGAAAGCCGGACAGGCCTCCCAGAAGGCCTGACAAGATGATGGGGGAAGACCCATGGCCAGAAATCCATACAGCTTCCTTGTGTGGAGGCTGAGAGCCTGGCCTCCCGGTCTCCTCCCTCCAACTCCCTCTCCCTTGGGGCACATAGGAAGGAATCTTCCAGAGACCTCAGACACTACCCTCATGGCTGAGCCCCAGAGGGAGGAGGAAGGGAGAAAGGCGGCAACTGTGGGCAAGGCAAGATAGTAGAGCCTCATGAGGTTTCTCAGTCTGGTGCTACCCCAGCAGGGTCCCCTGGGAGGTGGAGGACAGATATGCTGGGCCAGGAAGAGGGGGATTCATCCTGCTGCCCCTCACTCAGATACCTTCACTATCTCCCTACTACTAACCTGAAAAGGCTCCAACTCCTTACCCTGGCATTCAAGGCTTCCCGCAGCAGCCTGCACTAACCTGCCTTCCCCTTTCCCCTCCTGCTGCACCCCTCTGCTCCAGCCATCCAGGGCTACTTCCTGTGTCCTGGCCCCACCTAGCACTTTCCATACCTCCCTCCTTTGCTTGGACCGTCTTGGTTTATTGAGCCTTTCCCTGTCTCTGAGACCTGGTGTCAGCCCCAGCACATGCGCAGTGGGGCCCAGAGTGTGCCCACCACTGGACCACGACCACCCACAGCACTGGTCCTGCTCACTTGGGCCCTGGGCACCGCTGTTACCTCCCAGTTATTTAAGGCTTCATGGCCCCTGCACCCCCATCCCTTCCTTGGTGTCCCCACTTCTGGCACCAGGCTGAGCGCGTGGGAGGAGCACAGTCAATCACGACTGATTTGCATTAAAGGGGTGCTCCCTTTTGTTCTTCTGATACCTTCTCCAGTGTCTGAGCATTTGCCAAGGCGGGAACTGCAATCTCTCCCTTCCTTTTTATTCCTGTGGCCCCACTTGCATTATAATTTGTCTCTGTGCACCGGTCTCTCCCTGACTGGCTGGGGAGTGGCTGGAAGGCAGGGGCTGGGTCCTGGGTCCTGCTTACACTGCGCTCTGAGGGCATCGGCCTCAGGTACTCCTTGCGAAGTTAGGGTTTAATATCTGTCGCATTGAAGATCCCAGGCCCTAGGGCCAGGTACCGGTGGGGAACCTCTAGGGCCCTACACTTCTGGATTTCCCAGGCAAGTCCTGATCCCAGCCTTCTGTCCCTGTGGTCAGCTCAGGGTCCCAAAGTTGGGGATGGAAAGTGGGGTGACCCCAGGGTGGGCAGTGTCATAGGCAGGTTCGTGGCTCAAGAGCTGAGGGACAAAGATGGGGATGACATGGAACCTTAGAGAAAGGACAGACATGTGGATAGACAGGCTGACTCTGGGTGGCCCAGGTTCATGGAGGAGTGGGGTCCAAGGAGGCATTAGTGATGAGTGATGTCACAGATGGTGGACTTGGCTCAGAGACAACGGGAGCCCTGGGCATTCACCCCTGCTGCCCTTCGCTCGGGCTCAGTGCTTTAGAAGGGGATCAGCCCCGGCAGTGTTGGCATGGATAGCCAGGACCACTGTGCTTACAGAACTGGAGACGACTTGGGTTCACTGGGTAGGGCCTCACAGCTGGGACCTATCACCATCAGGCCAATAATTTGTGCTGCTCTTTTTTCATTGTTTTTTAAAGTTTACTCACCTATTTTGAGAAAGAGGGAGAGACAGGGAGTGCGTGCACGATCAGGGGAGGGGCAGAAAGAGAGGGAGAGAGAGAACCTCAAGCAGGCTCCACACTGTCGGCAGAGCCTGATGCAGGGCTCAATCCCACAAACCTTTAGATCATGACCTGAGCGGAGATCAAGAGTCAGATACTTAACTGACCGAGCCACCCAGGCGCCCCTGTGCTGCTCTTTAATGTCTGCTTCCAAAGTGCTTCCTGGGAAGGACTTCTGCCTTGATTGTCAACATTAATACATAAAAATGAGTCTGGACTTCTCCTTGACTTGCATGTTGCCTTGGGAGGCAGCTCTCAGTGTGCCCAAACCCTAGTTAAGGCAGAAGATTTGAAGATGCACCAACAGCTGACCTCGTATCTAGAAGCATCAACTGAGATGCATTTCAGGTACAGGTACTTTGCTTATCATGTATTCTACCTGTTCGTTGAGCGCCTATTGTGTGCCTGGCATGGTGCCAGGGGTGGTGGATGCCAGCCTGAAGAGGCAGCGGCCCCTGACCTGTGCCTGGATGTTCACAGAATATTCACAGACAGGCCCTTGCTCCACATGGGGACAGATTCCCCTGGCTCCCTCCTTGCCTGCATCCATTTGCCACACTCAGCTGGGGCTCTTACCTAAATAGGCTCCATGATTCTTGAGCTCCTCAGGGAATTCCTTCAGGTAGGACTCACGGAGAGGAATGACCTTCCCACCACTGGTCTCCTTCAGCACGGCTCCATTCCAGTCATAGGCGCCAACGGCTCCCAGCAGAATCCCATCCTGACATTGGGGAGGAGACACACATCAGCTCGTGCCCCCCGGGGGCCTCTCCCTGGGAGGCCACAACCGGGTTCTACACAATGAAGCACCCACCAGCCTCCGTGGGCACCTTCCCCTACATGCATTATTTAACTAACTTCCAGGCAGGATTCTTGACTTTTGAATGAGGCAGGGACCTTCCACCCTACCCTCACACAAAATGGGTCAAACAAAGGAATGTTCTAGAAATATACTCCACCTCTAGGACCAATTGCTCTTTGGGCTTCAGAAGCCCTGTAGGAAATCTGTCACTGTCCCTTCCTTCTGTGGCACCTGACTTGCCTTCCCTGTGTGTAAATCTTACATCTTCATTTCTTCAGTAATAATTCACTGAGTATCTACTCTGTGCCAACCACTTGCTCAGTGCTGGGATACTGTCCATGCCCCTGCAGAGCTCAAAGTACAACACGAATGTGCAAGTTAACATACTAGTTACAAAGTGTCATAACTGCTATAGAAGATGTGGTAAATGCCACAGTGAGAGTTAGTCTAGATTGAAATGGGGGGTCAGGAAAAGCATTTTTGAGTAAGCAATGCTCACCCGGAGACCTGGAGGGGGAGCGGACAAGTGTGTAAAGGCCCTGCAGCTGGAGGGTTTAGAGGCATTGGTTTTAAGGAACTGAGAGTGGTTTGATGGGCTGGAGCACAGTGACAGGGCCCGGAGTGACTCTGACGAGGCTGGACAGATAAGCCAGGGCCACATCTGTGGCAGTCTGCACCCTGAGGAAGGGCACTTGTCTTTAACTGCAGGGTAAGTGGGTGCTGCAATGCTCAGGCAGGAAGACAGGAGCTCTGGCTCCCTGAGGGGCAGTCTCCCTGTCACTGACCCCAAGGCCACTCCTGACAGGTCCCCTCAGTCTCTGGGCTGCCCTACACCCTACCCACCACCACCGCACCTCCTCAAACAACCCGCAAAGCTGGTGGTTATAAGAAAACAAACAGCAAGCACTGGAAGCAGGGGGCCACCTTCCTGGGTGACCTTGGTGATTCCTGGCCAGGCAGGTTGTACCCCGGCTTTGGGCCAGGAAAGCACTAGTCTCCTCCACTGAGCCTCCCTAATCCTGGCTGGTTGGCAGGATTTGAGGTTCCCCCACCACCTAGGGTCCAGGGCACCCCATCTCCCTTCACCTCCAATACAATGGTGCCCATAGAAAAATGTTTCTGGCCTTGGGACACTTAGGGCCATGAACGAGCAGGCGGGCAGCATCACCATGCGATAGTTTCACTGGTGGCAGCAGAGGGGGCAAGACTATGAACGTTTCTCTGACCTTCCATTTCTCATTTCCCAGGGGTCACTTTAAAGAGTGAAGTCGATCTTCGATAAGATTTAAAAAGTCTGAATTCTCTGGAAGCAGAACCAACTGTTCAGATAATGTTTTTAGGACCATACTGGTTTCTGGAGTCTGATGTACTTGGTTGTGTTTAATGTCGCACTTTCTAATAAGCTTCCTCCTACTAGTCTGTGTGAGCCTCAGCCTGGGTGCGTCTGGTGATCTGCTGGGTCAGAATCAGGGCCAGCACCTCAGAGTGCCCCCAGTCACGGCCAGTGCTCCTCACACGTCACATGTGCTCCCTTCTTTGCAAAGTACTCTCTATCCAGTCACCCATTTCTGAGAGACCAGCACGTCAGATACTCATTATCTTCACTTGACGAATGGCATCCAAGGTTCAGAAAGGGAGAGGGACTTGTCCGAGGCTGCACAGCAAGTTGGGGTGGGGCTGGGACTTGGAGCAGGGTGGTGAGTTGGGCAGGGGAGAAAGAGCCACGGGCAGCCCTTGGACTTTGCTTCCGGCTTTCCATCGGGGCACCCTCTAAGAAGACAAGGATGTTTGGGCTGTGCCTCTCTCTCTCCTCCCTCTCTCTTCTGGCTGAATCCAAGTTTGCTACTGCAGGACCGGGCTTCTTGTTCAGGGAGAGGCCTTTGAAGATGAATTTTTGGCTTTGCAGGTGACTTGAAGTCTCCATGATATACTGAGGAGGACTCGGATTCTGCTGGGGAGGACCTGATGCTGACCCACCATATATGTATGTGTGGCTGGGAGATTCCACTGGACTTCCAGATTCGGCAGCATTGGGCTGGCTGATTGCTCACAGGCTCTTGCCTTACACTGTCTCACCCTGGCAATGCCCGTAGGCCTGTGCTCCCAGGGGGCGGCTCTTTCTTGGGAGGGCTCTGTTGCCAGGGAGAGCCTCGCTGGGGACAGCGGGGAGAGGGCTGGCCGGGAGGGGCAGGTGGAGCAAACCTCAGTATGGCACTATCCTTCTCCAGCTCAGGGAGCCTAGACATTTTGAATTTGGAAAAAAATCTGGAGGGGCAGGGCCCCCAAAAGGGCCAAAGCCTTGTCAGAGGAAGCCAGGCATGTAGGCTCAGCTGGAAAACAAATAACAGGGCATTCCAGGGAAGAGCCTCGTCCCACACTCCAGTCCTGGCACTGGCTCCCTGATTTATGGCTTCCTTTCCCACGGGGCCACGTGAGCTCCCACCAGTATTGCCAGGGTGTGCCTGGGTGGCCTTGCACGTGGGCCCTTGGGACAAGCTGACTTTTCTAGCACCCAGTGCAGAAATGAGGACGCAGGCATGGTGGCCCTGAGCAGGTCCAAGGCCAAGTCTGTGCCCTCCCTATAGACAACCTGTACCCATATTCACTCGAGCACAGCACCTGCCATCTGATTCTGCTAGCTCAGCCATTAGCTGCCTCCTGACCTCACCCCTGCAGCAGTCTTGCCTCCCGAGCTGAGCTGAATGTTCCTGGTACATGTGACCATATCTCTCCAAACTGTGTTCCCAGCCAGTCCATGTTCCCCAGGGTTGGGTCACATCCCTAATACTTAGAAACAGCATTGGTTAGGGCAGTGGGTTCCCAAACATGAGGGGGTGCAGCTTAGCCCCCAGGCAATATTTGGCAATGACTGGAAACAGTTTTGGTTGTCACGGCTGGGGGTGGTGTTGGGGTCGGTGTGGCATCGGGTGGGGAGTGGCCGGGGCTGCCGCCTACAATACACAGGGCAGCCCCCCAGTGCAGAATTATCCAGCCCAAACTGTCAGTTGGGCTGAGGCTGAGAATCCTTCACCCAGTGGTTAGAGTGCGAAGTCTGGAGTCAGACATTCCTGAGCTCCAATTCCAACTTCAAATCTTCTAGCTTTGTGACCTTGGGCAATCTTCTCTCTCTCTCCTTTCCTTCTTTCCTCCCTCTCTCTCTGTTGCTCTGTCTCAGCCTCAGCTGTAAATTGTTTTGTTGGGAGAATTAACATGTTTAATTTTTAGCACGATGCTTGGCAGCGGCAAGGACTTGGTATATAGTAGCTCCTCTCATTCTTTAATTCATCCATAAAGCACGGAGGATGCAGGAGTCAAAGAATCAGATCTCACGGTCAAGTTGGTGCTGCCGATGAGTCATTAGAGCGGCCTGAGGGGAGTGCCCTGGTGGAGGCAAGGGCAGCTTGTTTGGGGGGCCCGCAGGAAGATCCCCAAAGTGGGGGCAGCTGAGGAGGCAGGTAGAGTTAGGACAGGGTTTTAAGAAACCCTTACGTGACTTATTGGTAAGTATCAAAATGTACACTTCTAGTCCTAAGCCTCAAGATTCAATTCCACAGATATTTTTCAGACATCTGCTCAAAGACTGAGAGGTTCTGAGAGGTTCAATGATTTGTCTGAGGCTGCACGGCCAGGCAGCACTTTCTCCTTGCCCTGCACTAATGGAAGGAGAATACCAGGTGCCAACAATTCTTGGTTTTGGATAGACAGGCTGGTGCGGGCCGGTGGGGGCGCTGCTGGCGGTCCTGTGCGCTGAGTCCTGCCCTCCTCCCCAGACCCCCCATGGCTCCCCAGTGTCCACATGTCCATCATCTGAGTGACTGTAGAAGATTCAAGAGCCTCTCTGAAGGCAAATACATCATGAAGAGGATGGACTATGCTTTTGCTAATTGTTAAGATTCTGTCATAGACGATGTATTTTTAACAAGCCCAAAGTGGAGCCTGAGGAAGGGATAAGGGCCAGGAGGCTTAGACGGGGTTGGGCAGGAAGCACCCAGAAATGAGGCTTCAATCTTCCTGGGGAAAGAAGCCCTTCACTGTGCTGGAAGCCAGTGGGATGGCAGGAGGTGTTGTAGGGAGCAAGGGCACACTGTACTTGACCGTTCATTTCTGATCGGTGGGTTGGTCGTCTCTGCTCGGGGATCCCCAGAACAAGGCGTGGGTGTGGCGTGCTGGGTACCAGGGTGCAGCCTGAGACATGGGGCTGGGCTTTGGAGGACCCCAATGACGTGGAAATGATTCCTGCCACCAGGAGTCACTTGCGAACAATCTGGAACAGCATGTCAGTGGACCTTGGCTACCACATACAGCCCTCATGCAGCGGGGGGGAGGGGGGGTGCCTGAGGACAGGCCTGACTGCTGCCCTGGCTGGTGTGGAGGGGTCCACGGGTTAAGGTGATGTGGGTGTAGGAAGGGTTTACAGCCTCTAGGTACCAACCCTTCACGTCACCATTATGGATTCTTTCATTTTCTTTTCTTTTTTAAGTTTGTTTGTTTGTTTATTTAGAATGAGAGCAAGTAGGGGAGGAGCAGAGAGAGAATCCTAAGCAAGCTCATCACTGCCAGTGCAGAGCCCGAGGTGGGGCTCAAACTCATGAACTGTGAGATCATGACCTGAGCAGAAACCAAAAGTCAGATGCTTAACTGACTGAACCATGCAGGCAGGCACCCAGTCTCTTTCATTTTTGAATGAATCATATATGCAAAACTAGTTCAAGTCTCTTTGTAGGGGTTCAGTCGGCTAAGCGGCCGACTCTTGATTTTGGCTCAGGTCATGATCTCACAGTCCATGAGTTAGAGCCCTGGCTCTGGCTCTGGGGGCTGTGGAGCCTGCTTGGGATTTTCTCTCTCCCTCTCTCTCTCTGCCTCTCCCTGGCTTGAGCTCTCTCTCAACATAAATAAATAAACTTAAAAAAAATCAAATGTAAACCTCTTTGGAAAGATTACAGCCCAAAGGCTTCTACAGCTAAGCACCTTAGATAATGGCCAATGACCTTGGCTATCCAGCCCACAGCTCCAGTAGGGGCTGCGGGAAGGGCACAGGCTGAAGAAGCTGGAGGGTGGCTGGGGCAGCTGGTCTGGGAAGTAAGAGTCTCCCCACCCTTGACCTGTTTCAGACATAACTGAGGGCTGGTCTTGCTGGATCATCACGTGTAGGTTATAGGGAAACAGTCCCTTCCCATGTCAGTTGAGTCATCAAAGTATTTGTGTAGACAAGATCCACCCTAATAAAACTGCTTCCTTCTGTAAACTTTTGGGGTTGGGGAGAGGTAAGAGGTCCATGTGAAATTCCTCCGCAGAGCCCTTGGGTAGGAGGAACACCCTAGCTCCACCCACCACCAATGGGCATCCATTATGTATTGTCCCCTTTCTTTCTGCACACCTTCCGTCTTGGCCTGTGTGGATTATAGACTCTTAGAGTCTATGCCTCCTTGAGAGGTACAGATCCATTTTGTAAGCTTTCTGGCAGACTCTTGCAGCTTTTTCTTGATTGCCTGGCTCAACAGGGAGTTCACCACCTCTGCATGCAGCCAGGACTGATAGAAGCCACTCCAGCTATTAGTCACCTTTGCATTCATTTCCAAATGCTAATGGAACCATTGGCTTAAAAATCTGTTTTAGAATTTGACTGGAGATCCATAGCTCGTCTTCCTGATGGTCATTTCCAGAATGTTCTCTTTCCCCTTTTTAGCAAATCAAGACTAGAGTCTGACTTAGGTCCCTGGGTTTCCTCAATGGCTCTGACCTTCAGCCTGGGATGCACTTCATTGTTGTCTGGGGCCTTGGGCTCTTCAGGTGACCAGGTGATGTTTTGGGGTCTCCTCTCCTACCCTGGGGCTCTAGTCTCCCCTTCCTCTTGTTGCTTTGCCCTTTTTAACTTGAAGACTGGTTTCCTTGCTAGACAGGCAATAATAGCAGCTCAGGTGATGAGCCACCAGGCCTTTCCTCTGCTATTTGAGAACATTCTAGGGGGTCCTTTCTCCAGGACTAGAGACCTTTCCTTCTGACATAACTAAACAGGCCCAGGGAAGCTAAAGGCTTCTTCTCACATTTGTAGGAAGTAGCTGTCTGAGGCCATCTGTAGAACATAGAGCCTGAGTGCTCGCCCAGGACATGGACTCACCCGGCCTCAGGACCTGCTCTGGGCAAAGCTGAATGCTGGACCACAAGCTCCCCATCCCCAGAGAAGGCTGACCAGCCCCGAGAGCTGTGGAGCTGGACTCCCACGGACAGGACGGCTGTGGCCAATCGTGGTGGCCTCAGTGGCCAGCACTGAGAACCCTCTGTGTCTTAAAATAGCAACCCAGTGGCCGGTCACAGCACCAGACAGCCCACCATCGTTGCTCCATTCCTTTGGATTTGGTAGGATTGTTTTCTCCTTTTTAAGTATTAAAGAGTCTCAGATTCAGACTTACTCATCTCCTCTTTAAGAGCCCTATCAGATAAAAACTTCCAGATGCCTGTCACTTGAAAACGAGACTCGGGGGCATTAGAAGAGCTGGGGTGGTGATAAGGGTGGGGAGAGGCACTCTGGTCTCTCCAAGCAGAGGAATGAGAAAGAGTTGGACACGTGGAAGAATCTGCACAGGGCAGTGCATGACCTTGGTCTAAACAACAGGCCGGGGCTCTGAGCTCTTGGTCTCCCCTATACTGCTGGGGGGTCTGTGGATCCTGTAAGGACTCCTGCTCGACATACTGAGCTGTTGGGGTCCTTTTTAGGGTTCATCTCAAGAGTTTCTGAACACTTGAACCTCGTTGTAACCTCCTCTTCTCTTCGGGTGCCCCGATTCCTGGGCACACATGGACCACAGTGTCAGAAGCAGGAGACTACACCTCCCAGGACCCAGCGCAGGGCTCAGCACAGAGAAGGCACAGAGATTTGCAGAGCTGACCATCTAAAACGGGACAACTATTCCTGTCTGTCAACCTGGCAGGGCTGTGCTGAGCCAGAAAAGGGGCACAGGGATGTCCTGGAAAAGTTTAAAGTGCCGCGCACATACGAGAGGACTGTTAGGATTACAGGCGGCTCCATTTATATCTTGCTGTGTCCGGGTGGGCATGAGCCTGTGTAGATGCAGTTTGGGAACAGTGGCGTGTGAGTCAGGTTTCCATCCTGCTGCCTGTGCACATGTCCCCTCTGCCTCTGATTTGGGGTTTCTGACTCAGACCCCTCCGAGATTCCACATGCTCTCGGGGAACAGCTGCTCGGCACGGGGAGGAAGAGCATGAGACTCTCACATTTTTCTACTTAGGTCACTTCAGCAGGTCACTCAGACTTTGTGTGACTCGGTTTATTTATCCGGAGACTGGGAATAAGGAATCCAGCCCTAGTCACCTCACAGAGTGGTTGGGGGGAGACAGTGAGATAACGGAGGTGATGTAGAAGCAGGAGGCATAAGTACAGTCCCACGGTGCCAGCCTGGGGCAGAACACCTAGAAGCCTCTCTGCCCAAAGCATGCCCACTGACTTGCACTCCTGCCAGGTGGTCCTCCCAGCACACAGTGCTCCCAGGCAGGGCTCCAGGGTTTATAACGCATTTTTGCAGATACCTCTCCTTGCCCCCCTCCCCTCTCCCCCCCCCCCCCCCCCCCCCCCCCCCCAGCAATCCCGTGAGGTTTCAGCTCCATCTTGACAAGCTGAACCAGGTGAGGCGTGTTCAGGGTAAGTGATGGCCTGGCGCTCTGGGCCACCGATGCGGAGCTTCCGACACGGCATACTGCTGGTGACAGCATGTGGCCACCTGGGCCCTCTGCTGTCTGAGGCCGAGTCTGCCCCGGGAGCACATCTGGCCCATCTGGCCGCCCTCCCTGCATCAGCTCAGGGCCATGCCCCTGCACGTACAGACCACCTCGGGCAATGGCCTCTGCCATGTTGACCCTATTTTTGCACAAGGCTCTGTGGGCAGCAGGGGACCTTCAGGCCTGGAGGAAATGCCCCCAGTGGCCCCTTATGCAGGTGGTTCGTTATATGTAGCTCACTCCCTGCTGAAAAGGGCTTGTAAGTTGAAGACCTCAACTCTCCTTGCAGCCACAGAAGACAAAGAGACCCAGAGAAGCAAAGTGGAGGTGGGTGAGGGACAGCCCCAGAAAGGTGGCGGGCCACCTAGAAGTTCTAGAGGTGTGTGGGAGGGCAGCTCCAGCCCCCACCTACCTCCACTACGTGAGAAGAAAAGCCCGTCTGGGACATCTCCAGCCCGAAGGACGTTTCATTCTTGTTGGTGCCTAAAACAGAGGGACAGGAAGACCTCAGCTGCATGCCCCAGTGCTTAGCGCCACACGCCTGCAGCCCCATCCACGGCACCTGTGTCCTGGGGCCACCCCCGGAGAGGGAAGAGGGGGCCCCAAGGGAGCCCACACAGGGAGGTGCCAGGGACCTTCCAGGTGCCCGTTGACTTCACTATTAGTAGGCCAGTCACTGCCGCAAAGGGTTTGGGACAACCTGTGACAGAGCACGTATGCCACATGAATGTCAAAAGAGGGGAAAGAGCAAGAAAAGTGTATGGAAACAGTCTACATCTTTGGCAAGAAATGGACATTCCATTTCTTTCCTCACTTCTCTCATTCCCATTATTCACCAGATTTGGTTCCAGATGCCTCTGGATGACTCCCAGACATCGAATCGAACCCTCAGGAGGGAGACCACCCCAGATTTGCACAAGTCACCCATGTGTGCTGAAAGCCCCTCCCCATAGAGGGCCTCCCTGAACATGTCACCAGAGCCCATGTTCTTAACACCCAAGGCAACCGTTTCTGGGAGAAATACGCCCAGCTGGGTATTTAAGTTCTGGTGGGAGTGTCAAAGTTCAGGTTCATAGTTTCTATTCCTTCATCCTTGTGGAGAGGGCTGCATTCATCAACTCATATGTCTATAGCTCGTATTTTCCAAAGTGCTGCAGACTGCTCAGGCTTGTCCACACTGCCTTCTATCTCTTTTACCACCCCCTATGTGGCCCAGCCCCATGTTGGGAGAAACAGATCTAGCGATACACGGCACAAAGGAGGTCTGTACAATCAAAACTGATGTTTAAATAGTAAGGAGAGGGGCACCTGGGTGGCTCAGTCAGTTAAGCATCCGACTTTGGCTCAGGTCATGAGATCAAAATTCCCGGGTTTGAGCCCTGCATTGGGCTCTGTGCTGACAGCTCAGAGCCTGGAGCCTGCTTCATATTCTGTGTCCCTCACTCTCTGTCCCTCCCTCTCTCACTCTATCTCTGTCTTTCAAAAATAAGTAAACTTAAAAAAATAAATAAATTTGAATCTCAGACAACCAGCAGATAATTTCTTAGTATAAGTCTGCTGCAGATACTGTATTTTATATTTGCTAAATCTGGCAACACTGGTTCAAAGCCTGTCTCCTTCCCAAAGCTGCCGAAGCTTTGGTGAGTCACTTAGGTTCTATGAGCTTCCAGTTCCTCCGTGGTAAAAGGAGAATGTCAGGAGTGCTACCATCTGGGGCTGTCTGTCAGGTGCAGCACAGAGTTCCATGGCCTTTACCACGAAGGGATAGCTCCTGCTAAGGCTTTCCGTGTTGTGGGGCTGGATCTTGCTCTGTGGGGTTTACCTGAAGTGTGCCCAGGAGCGCACATCCCCTTGGTATGTGTCCCTCACCTTCCAAGCTGAAGATCCTGTCCCCCAGGGCATCGACGATGTCCTTCAGGGCCGCCTCGTCGGTCACGTTGAAGAAGTGTTTGTCATCGGGGTCACTGGCGATGTATTTGATCTCATTCAGAAAAGCTTCTGGATTGATCCCCCTGCGGTTGTAGTAGCCCAGGACCTGCCAGGGAACGGGGCAGGGCGACAAACCAGGACATAGCACAGGCCTCCCACACGCCCGTGGCCCCCGACCCCGCGTGGCTGAGGCCGCTGTTTCAGTTGCCCTGGGCAGAACTGCGGGCCCCACTTGCAGTTGGAAGCAGGCTGTTTTGTTCTAAGACAGCGTCCTGGGGGCTGGGTGGCTTGGGGGTGTTTTTTAGTGTTTCAAGGTTTTGGTAGTGGAGGAACTTGCCCCCCACCCTCAGCCTGTCCCCAGCTGTTGCGGATAGCCCTGGATGGTGCTCAAAATAAATTCCCAAGGTGGTCTTTAGGAGAGGATGAAATAAGGAGAGGCCCACTTGGGGGCCTGGGCAGCTTGCTCACTCCCCAGAAAGTGCCCCTGGGAGTCCCCAGGGCTCTGATGGCAAAGCCTCTAGGGGTGGAGGGTGGCACAGGTGGGGCAGGACTCACGGCCACAGCGTATCTGGTCACGTTGTCTCTCTCACTTTGCTGGATCACCTTCTCCAGGTCTGGACTGTCATGGGACTCCCCATCTGTGATGACAATCATCACCTTCTTGGCCCCTTTCCTTCCGCCTTTCTGGAAAGCCTCTGAGCTGAAACCAGAGCACCGGGGGAGGGTCACAAGAGGGATGTAGGGACATGGCAGCTCCCGGTGCTCCTCCAGAGGGACGGCCGCAGATGTGGAGCTGAGCCCCCTTACCTCCCTGGGTTGGGATCTCAAACCAAAGAAGCAGTTGGGTTGAGGTGCCCACACTACTCAAATGGGTCATGTACCTGCCTGTCTTTCAAAAGTAACTTTAAAGAGCCCCTTTTAGGGGTCCTGACCATGCTGTTTGGGGCAAGGAGAGGGAGCAGGCGGGTCTGGGAGGTAAGTTCAAGGTCTGATGGAGACCTTTAGACACCCTACATTAGTGGTTCAAAAACCCAGTTCTACATTAGAATCACCTGGGGGAGTTTGAAAAACATGCTGATGTCTAGACCCCACCTGGGCATTAAATCAGCATCCCTGGGGCATGGCCTGGGAATCAGTATTTTTCATTAATTTTTTAAAAATGTTTTTATTCGTTTTTTTGAGGGGGAGAGAGAGAGAGAGAGAAAGAGAGCAGGGGAGGGGCAGAAAGAGAAGGAGACACAGAATCCGAAGCAGGCTCCAGGCTATGAGCTGTCAGCACAGTCCCACATGGGTCCCAAACTCACAAACCACAAGATCATGGCCTGAGCTGAAGTCAGACTCCACCGATTCAGCCACTGAGATGCCGCATCAGTATTTTTCAAAAGAATGAATACCGGGGTTGAGAACGACTTCCTTCATATTGAGAAGGTGACAGACCTGAGTAATTCAACCCCCAAACAACACTAATCCCTAAAATACATGTAATGACATCTGACAAAGTTCTGCTTTTCCCCACGAGGACTACTTTGATTACATTTTGGGAATGACTAAATATCGAAGTCCATGACAAATATTCCTCTCTCTTGCTTTTTACTTTGTTTTGTGCCTGGAGCAGGTGCTTGGCCTGCCCCTTAGGCAGTCCAGCCAGGGGCTGGGGGCCTGACACTCTGACCGATGATGTCGTGGAGGGGCTCTTGCAGCTGGTAACCCATCTCAGAAGCACAAAAACTTGTTCTGGAAACATCACGGGCTCTTGGTGCCTCTGTGGCCAACCCTCCTTTAGACCATGCGGTCCTGAGTAGGACAGACAAATAATGGACCAAAAGTCTGGCCCAGCAGGTAGAATGTTCCAGTAAGAATCTAAAAACAAATGCCTCCCTTAGACTCTGTGTTGACTCCTCTGGGGTCTGACCCATAGACTTAAGCTCTGCAGTGCTAGGTTCAAGTTCATTACCACACGGATCTCTTGTTACACGGAAGCTGATAAGCTGACATGCATGTTTAGATGTTGACAAATTCACAAAACCTGGAATAAGTAAGTTCAGACATCTGCAAAGCTCCCACTGAATAGAAACAGACCATCAGCCCTTCTTTCTTAGCTCTGTGATATTGTGGATATACTGACTCAAAAAGAAAAAACCCTTGGGGGCACGTGGATGGCTCAGTCAGTTAAGTGTCCGACTTTGGCTTAGGTCATGATCTCACAGTTTGTGAGTTCAAGCCCCGCATCGGGCTCCCTGCTGTCAGTGCAGAGCCTGCATCAGATTCTCTGTTCCCCTCTCTCTCTGCCCGTCCCCCACTCACTCAAAAATAAATAATTATTTAAAGAAAAATCCCCCTCAAATTTCAATATGAGCTGTGAACCGGAGGCCAGAGGCACACTTGACATGATGACTTTGAACTTTGAGCTTAAGCCTAACCCAGTCAGTAGAGGGAGAACTCTGCTAGTCCCTCAAAGGAGATTCAAGATGTTTCCATAAACTCACGGAAGGATCAGACCAAGGCATGAAACTCCATGTAAAAAAAAGTATGGCAGGGGAAAAACAGGTTTCACTATATATGGAGTCAAGTAAACTTTCAGGTTCATATTTCCATAGAGTAGAATTGTGTGAATATCTGTATGCATTTGTAATGGGGTAAATATTGACAAGAAACATCAGATTTAAAATTGTGATTTCCTACTGAGTAAAAAGACTTGGATTTATTCCTTTGTAAATCAGATTATAAGTTCCTTAAGAACAGTGAGAGCCTTATACTTAGAACAGTTTCCATGAACCTGGAAACCAGAATGATCTACGGAAAAGTAGTCCATATCATGTCTCCTTTCTGCTCAAAATCTTCACTGGCTCCCATTTCTCTGGGGTCCTGAGAATGGTCCGTATCTAGCCCTTTCATCCTTCTGTCCTTCCTCCTGCTTGCTCCCCTCAATAAAAAGTGTTGAGTGAACTATGATGGAGTGACATCATTATCCCCATGGCCCCCAAGCCATACGTGACTGTTAGATTCACCTTTATGTATATATCTGATGAAAACACTGTCAAGTCTAAGACCCTCTGGTTATGGTTGTTTTAGTTATGACATTATCACCCTCCTAACCTGGCTCCGATACTGCCCACCCCAACACAAGCCCCACACCATGCTCAAAAGGCTCTAAACATAAGCATTCCTGGACTTTCCCCTCTTCTACCCTTGGCCGGGTGGAATGTCTCCTTTCCACCTGTCCCGATTGAACCCTGGGGTCTTCCCAGGACAAGCCAAATGCCAGCCCCTCTTGGCAACCCTCCCTTGGATCCTACTCTCTCATCCTTTCTGATGCTTTTCAGAGTTTCCTTGCTGGGCCAGGAGCTACAGATTGCCATCTCTGATACCCCTCAAGTCTGTGGCCTGGATCTTTGCACTTTTGCAGGTACGCAGAAAAAAAAAACAAACCACCACCAAAACGCATTGTGAATAAATGAGGAGGGCAAACCTCTTCCCTTAAAACACACCCCCTGTAATTTGGGGCTTGGCAGGCTGAGAAGATCAGATTTCAAACCTCACTTGAGGTGCAGACTGCATAGCCCACTGGTGCTCCTGAGTCATGGCTGGTTCGAACTGCTTGCTGGATCACACACTCGTAATTGATCTGGGGGTGGTCAGCTGCATCCCCAGATGACTCACTGAGTTCACACCGAGGAAACGTGAGCTCAGTGGGCACAGGCTTCCTCTGTTGCCCCAGCCATTTCACAAGGGGCTGCTGGGGGCCCCAGGGACTCATCCCAGTGACAGCAAAACAGCAAAATGGCCCGTTCCTTGTGAGGATGAGTGAAAGCCATCCTCACACAGAGGGAGGTTCATTTAGGAAAAAAGTTTGGGCAAGTTTTACGGCAAAAAGATTTATTAGTGGAGCCGTAACTTAATCATAAAGAATTGTAAGTTTGGAGGAAAAAAAAAGTAATCATTTGACCACATGAAATCGTGTTACTCCAAAGTAGCTCTCACATTGTGGAATTCTGTGAAACACATTGGCTGATCCTCTGTGAGGTGGGATTGTAAGAGAATGGGCCTGAGGTCTCAATGGATGTGGCAGAACTCTTATTCATAGGTGTAAAATTTATATATTTAAAATCTATATGCCTTAGGAGTTTAGGCCTCAGCTTGAAAGATCTTGGGGGATTGCCTCAAATCACTCACTGATTTCAGTGGGGCTGAGCACAACGTCTGAGCAATGGCAGTCCCACCAGAGTCAGCATGAAGCCATCTGTAAGGGCATTGTCTAGAGGGAACCTTCATCATCACTGTGAGTGAGTTCTCGTGTGATTTTTAAAGAGTCAGCCTCGTTACTCTACCACCTCAGAAGTTAGACTTAACGACGTTCCTCACACTCCACTGATGACAGGCACTATGCAGGAAGATTTTGCCCTCATGGAACCTACACACTTTTTATAGGGTCTCTGTGGCAGAGCCCATTTTCCATAGTCGTTTGCAACAATACCTCCCATCCCAAATGCTCTGTGATGTGACCTCGCCATTCCTCCATCAAGAGGAAGAATCCATTCTCTTCCCCTAGAATCGGGGCTGGTTTTAATGACTCACTCTAACAATAGAATACAGCAGAAGTTATATCTGGAACTCTGAGGGCTAGGTCATAGGCAATCTCAGAGTTCCTGTGTGGGCCTTCTGGAAAGCTCTCTTACGACACGCCCTCTCAGAGCCCAGCTGCTACACCATGAGAAAACCAAGCCACATGGCCACGTGTGGGTGCTCAGGTGGCCAGCCCACACTGAGCTCCCAGCCAACCGCCAGCTACGTGGGGGCGCCATTTTGGATGTTCAGTCCAGTCAGCCCCTCAGATGATCACAGCCCCAGCTGACACACCAGACTACCACCATAGGAGAGATGCCAAGAGAGAATTGACCAGCTGAGCCCAGCCAACCCCCAGAAATTTGAGGGGTTAATAAATTATTGTCTCAAAGTATGGAATTTTGTAGAGGATTGTTATACAGCAATGGGTAACTAGAACAGTTAATCTGAGATTTAAGTAAATTATTATTATTTCTATTTTATTAGGATTTTTTTTTTTTTTTACCGAGCAAATTCAATGCCAAATGCTGTCCGGGTCTCTGTTCCTCCTCTCTGCTCAATGTGGCTGGCGGCTTCTACCACATCTTTCACAGACCTGTAGTCATTGAGGTGAAATTCATGTACCACGTCTTCTCCGTACTGGACAACCCCAACCTGCAGGGCAGGGGAGAGGACGACAGAACATCTTGACCCCCCTCACCCTTTGGAGGTGACACTCCCCAGAGTCATCTCTCTGTCTGTGACTGTTCAGGAATGAGAAGGACTAGAGAGAAACTGGGAAGTGTTCTGGGAAGGTCTGGGAATGGACGGCTTTTGGTGAGACAGGTGGGAAGTGCATCTTGAGAGGGGAGGCTGTGATTGAAAGAAAGGTCCAACAGATTCTTACTTGCTGGAGCATAGAACTGAAGCCTAAAATATTAGGAGCAATGTGGCTGGAGGGCCATGGCATTTTTCATCAAATGCTGGAACTAAGTCTCCTTAAAACTTAGAAGAGAAGTTCTTTTATCCCCAAGGCTGATAAGATATAGACAGTATTCACAGCCTCAAAGTAAGCAAAAAATCTTAAGAGACTTACAGTAGGATTAGAAGGAGAAAGCCTTCCTGTCGGATGGGCCCCAAGCTTATCTGCTGCCTTTCTGATGCTATACATTCATCCACGTTATCCTGAAGATGATCTTCCCATCTTGGGGAAGTCATTACTTCATGAGGAAGCCCACTCCCTTTTTAATAGCTGTGATTGTTACAAAATAATTTCCTAGATTGACTTGAAATCTGCCACCTTGTACCTCCCATATGTCAGTTGGCCATGACCTCCCCCTGAGTCTTCTCTCAAGATCAGCGTGTCTAATCCTCCCCTGTGCCTCACTCAGCAGGGTTCTTCTTGACCTTTCCTGCCCTCATTCTACCTGGTTACCTGGTTAAAGTCTTTCTTAATAGGTGGCATCTATCCTAGAAGACAGGTTTGACCAGTGAAGTGGGGCCTCCCCCCAACTGTCCCCAGATGTGCCCAGCAGAGATGGGTATCCTGGGCTCAGGGCCTGGCACGGGCCCTTGCACTCACACCTTGCCAGCACATGCAAAGATGCTCTCCATGCCCCAGGGAGGCATCTTGCATGGTCTGGGGAGCCCTGTTCAGAGGAGAGAGTCCCAGAGACGCTCACCTGGATCTGCCCAGGGCCGATGTAAAACTTCTTCAGGATGTTGATGAGGAAGTGCTGAACCTCCACCCAGGGGTAGATGCTGTTGGAACCATCCAGGACAATGACGATGTCCATGTAGGTCTGGCACCCTGGGGAGTGGGGTCACGGTCAGGGCTGCCCAGTGAGTCAGCACCTGCTTTCAGTCTCTGATCCTCCAGATGGGGACCCAAAGGACAACAGAAGAAGGACCCTGTCATATATATATAATTTCCTTACCTGGGGAGCTGTCCGTGGGCCAGTGGGTGGTTTCCAGCAACATGAATGACGGGCCCAGGGATTCTTGCCTCTGCTCAAGCACTCTGTGCTGGCTGTTTGAACCAAGCTTAAATTCAGCCTGATTGCCTCTGCTCGTCATCAGGGACTGACCTGGCTGGGTTAATGTTTCCAAGGCAGCTGCCCTGTTCAGATCAGTAGCTCCCTGTCATTCATTTTACTTTCATGGGCAGGCTGCACTCACCATATTTAGTCTAAATGAATGAGTTTCACTTTTTAGGAGAGCGGTACGGTGTGCTGGCTAAGACTGTGGGATATCGCATCAGACTGTCTGACTCGTGGCTTGGCTGAGCACCAGCTGTGTGCCCTTGGGCGAGTCACCTAGCCTCCAGGGTCATTTCTCTGCTGTAAAACAGGCGTGATGACAGGAGAGGGTCATCATGAGGAATGAAGGAGACAAGGCTTCTAAAGAGCTGAGCACAAAGTCAGTGCTCAAGGAATCTTAACTGATCCTCTTTATTTTTTTCTCTATTTTTTTAGAGCAAACTACTTTGGGAGTGTGGCAATGACATCCTCAGGCCAAGCATTTGTGCATTTATCTCTGTTCTGAGCATAAAGCTTTCTCTATATTCCTGTAATATTAATACTGAGTCAAAATGAACAATAAACACTGACAAAGAAACATCGGTAACCATAACAAATGCAAAAAACTGCTTTTAAAATTGAAATAACTTCTCTTTGGGAACAGTCAGAATTACTTTGCAATTAGTTGTTCTGATGTGATGTGACATATGCCACACAATATTATATCATATGGAAATACTGGGTATCTGCTGACTTTACTGGAGAATTTTCACAGTTGTAAAATCTACTTTATAGCGAGATGGCAGGAGTCTTTTGGGTGTTAACGATTCCAGTAACTCCTGTATCGTGAAGGTGCACTCTGATGAAGTCACTGCCCACCAGAGACCAGAAGGTGCTGGCTCTGAACCTGGGTGACCGTTGTAGGCTCTGTGTTTGGGAAGGCATTTTAGAAGTGTTTGGGAGGCTCAGAATCGCCTCTGCTTCAGAGTTGTCTGTACATTCTTGTCCCCACCTGCACGCCAATGCAGCATGTGATGGCCCAATACTCCTGGGCTGACAGCACTAGATTGCTTTGTCCTTTTCCAGGCTGGTTTAGCTCCATACCTGTGGACCCAGCAGCTGTGCGGCGCCGATGGCTACAGCGGTGACTGAGACAGAAATTCCCTAATTGGGGGACATTCCTAATCTATCAGTAGGAACCAGGTTTCTCTTATTTTTAAGCCATCTTTATTATTAGAATGTATTTATTGTTGTTGATTTCTTTCTTGCAATTGCACATTTTTCTTTTGAAGCATTCTGGGAAGAACTTTGCTTTAGATCTGTGGTTCCTAAACAGGGCTGAACACTCCAGTGAACACACACACACACATGCACCCTGGGGCTTATCCCAGACCTACTGAGTTAGAGCCTCCAAGGGGGTGCCCTGGGATCTGGGATCTGTGTCTGATAATCTTGCAGTCAGATGAGCATGATGGTCACATGTTGGCCTGCGGTGAGGTTCCCTGTCCACAGCTCATGGGACTGACCTTGGGCCCCCTCTCCAGCCGCGGCACTTCTTTTCCCTTGTCCACTTTGGGAGCATAGACTCAACACCTCCTCCTTACACTTAAAGGAACCACTTTCCAGCCCCGCTGCTGGCTGATGCTCCACCCTTCCCCGCCCCCCCCAAAGCATCATCCTTCCATCTCTGATTGGGCTGTGTTGTTTGCAGGGAGGCTTTTGTTAGCCAGAGGTGCTAATCCCCTCACCCTCAATAAAACGGTTAGCAGCTGCTTGGGTGATGGTATTCAGCCCAGAGGAAACAGTTGGGCTGGGAGCCAAGCAGTTTGGGCTTGAGGGAGACAAGGTCTGAATATTTTTTCACTAGATTTTTTTGGCAGGTGGGGAGTGAGTGGGAGGTTTTGTGTTCCATGAGACTCTGGGCAAGCTGGGTGGAGCTTCCTGATATCCAGGAACACCAGTTGGAGGGGACTGTTACCAGGGATATTTCTGTTTTCCTTGGCCTTCCACCTACAGGCAAAGGCACTGCATAAAATCAGAGGGCACCATTCACATTGTAGTCTAAGTGAACAATGTCTCCAGAATTGTGCTGTCCACAGCTTGCCTGCTATATACATGGTGGCCCAGCAACATCTTCGCCACTCACAGTGGGTTTGCTATGAGCCTCTCTGGTTGCCAAGACTGTCTTCATAACCTCCACTCACTTGCTGCCAGTCATCACTCTGTCCTGGGTAACCCGCAGGTTCTGGGGCAGGGAGGGGATAGAGTCCTGGTGCTGCTCTGTGGCTGCAGGGTGGTGGTGATCATAGCTGAGAGCCTGCTGTGACTGTCAGCCTCTCAGCTGCTGCAGACTGATCTGCAGATTCAAAGCTACTTACTTTGGAGAGCTGGGGCCACTGTCTTGGAGAACCTGAAGTTGGAGTTGACTCTCGAACACATCCCTGTGGTGTAGTAGGAACTCCCACACTCGTGAGACCAGAGGGGGCTGCAGGCCTGTGAAGTACAGTCCAGAACCCCAGTCAGTAGGAGGTCTCCGGGGGGGGGGGGGGGGGGGGGGGGGGGGGGGGGGGGTTGTCCAGCCCCAACCCAATCTCCATGACCCAAAGCATCCTCTAACTATTGGCACTCCAAGGATTTAGAGAATCTTCTTGGAGTCTAACTGAATTCTTTCTTGCCATAATGTGTTCTAGTTCCCTTGGTTTCAGCTGGAATAGAGAAAAACTAATTTTAGACTCCTCCTTTGTTGTATTTTCAAGGGTCCCATTCTCTATTCCAACATCTAGAGTTCTGACTCTGCTTTACCTTACCTGCCCACCCCACCCACCATACAGGATCATCCATGGGATTGGACCCTTCAAGGTCACTAGAAGAGGCTTTCTGTTTGAAGACGTCACCTGAACATCCTTATTGAAAAGACTTCCAGGTCCCAATAACATGCCCATGGCTTTTAGTGGGGAAAGAAAAAAGAATGTTTCTGCTTTTTTTTCTGAAATTTGCTACCCAAAACATTGATGTCAGCCCCTGATTTAAAGACTGAGAAGTCCTCAGAGTCAGGGTCATTAAAAACGAAAGCCCAGCTCCATGTCTCCATTTTTGTACTTGTGCCAAGAAACCCAGGACTAACTTTTGTGCTGTAATTTCCTTCGGTTTGGAAAAATAATTATTCTGCTTCTAATCTCTTTCTTTAATTAACTCTCTGTTTTTACTCAGATTTTAAAAGTTTTGTTTTATCCATGTCCTTTGTTGAAGCTGCAGTTAATTATTTCTGGAAGTAGGGGAAGAATAAAGAATAGGATGGTGGGTGATGGCTAGAGTGATAGATGGATGGGTGGATGGATGATGGATGGAGGAATAGGTGGATAGATTATGGATGGTAGGTAGATGAATGATGGACAGATGGATAGACAGATGGATAGGTAATGGATGGATGGAAGGGTGGGTGGAAAGATGATTGATGGATGGGTGGATGGGTGGATGGATGGATGATGGATGGATGGGTAGATGGATAGGTGATGGCTAGATGGATAAGTAGATAAATGATGGATGGAGACGTGGGTGGATAAATGATGGATAATGGTTGGATGATGGATAGATGGATGGAGGGGTAGATAGATGATGGATGGAAGGATGGGTGGGTGCATGGATAATGGATATTGGAGAGATGGATGATGGATGGATGAATAGGTAGTTAAATAATGAATGGACAAATGGATGGACAAATGATGGATAATGGATCGATGGATGATGGATGGATGATTGATAATGGGTGATGGATGGATGGTTGGGTGGATGGATAATGGATGGGTGTAGGAAGAGATGGATGGAAGGAAAGATGAATGGACAGATAAATAGATGAATGGAGAGATAAACAATTGGTTGGGGGGTGGACTGATGAGTGAAGGATGAATGGATGAATAACTGAGCGAATGAGTGAACAAAAGTTGCTATTTATGGGGCGGTTGGGTGGCTCAGTCAGTTAAGCATCCAACTCTTGATTTTGGCTCAGGTCATGATCTCATGGTTTGTGAGATTGAGCCCCACGTCGGGCTTTGTGCTGACGGTGTGGAATCTGCTTGGGATTCTCTCTCTCCCTCTCTCTCTCTGCTCCTCCCCCTCACACTCTCGTTTTCTCTCAAAATAAATAAATAAACATTTTATGAAAGGTTTCTATTTATCAACCAGGGACTTAACCAACCCACAGAAGCCCCAGAGGTTGTATCACACCAGCCTTCTCAGGCTTCCATCCCACCTTGTGAAGTCGGTGAAATAAACTTGCTAGGAGCATGACAAGGAGCCACCGAAGGAAGAGGGAGGAGCAACAAAGCCCCCGACAGGCTTGTGTGTGGACAGGACCCAGGGTCCTGTTTGCCCTTGGCTGGGATGGTGAAAGGCTGCGGGCCGGCCACACACCGAGGCACCTCGGAACTTTCCCTGGCAGGGCTACTATGCTCTCCTCAAGCCCCTGAGCATCCCAGCCACCTCGTTGTCCTGGTATCTGGTGCTCCACACCCCGGACGTCCCATCTGTCCCCAGAAATGTGCTGTTGGATGAGAACAAAGAGTGACACAAGCCCTTCTATCTAAAAATGAGTGACCCATTTTATTGGGCTCTCTGAGTACATTCTTCTCCGAAATCCTCTCCTGCGGCCGTTTCTAGAACTATCAGTCCCAGTAGGATCCTATTTTGAATCCCCGGCATTGCCCAACTCGTGGTGGCAGGGAGCAGGCAGTGCCCGCCATGATGCCACCCACACTTGGGGACTATGTGCACAGTGCACGTGCACTCCCCTGAGAGCAGCCGTTTCGCCCCAGCATCACGTTTACACTACTCCCTGGCCCATCAGCTCTCCCCTGCCCAGCATTTAAGCCCCAGGAGGACAGGAGCTCCGTTGACTGCTGACTCCCCAGTGCCTGTCCTCGGGGATGATGGTGGATGGATGATGGATGTGCATCGTAAGTGCTCAAAGATTTTTAAATGAATAAAAATTTACTTTTTATAAGTAACATGCACCACTTCAGTGCATGTACACCTTCTGCTTTCTTCCTTGCTCAGACCCATTGTCTCTTCTTTATTTTATTCATCTATTTTTTAAACTTTTATTCATTTTGAGAGAGAGAGAGAGAGAGACAGAGTGCGAGCAAGGGAGGGGCAGAGAGAGAGACACACACACAGAATCCAAAGCAGGCTCCAGGCTCTGAGCTGTCAGCACAGAGCCCGATGTGGGGCTTGAACTCATCATGAACTGTGGGATCATGACCTGAGCTGTAGTCAGACACTCAACCGACTGAGCCAGACTGGCGCCCCCATTGTCTTATCTTTAAAAGCAAATCGAACACCTCCTCCAGAAAGCCTTCCCATGTAACCCTGCCCAGTGCTGGTGGCCCATCCCTCTCTCTCCCCTTGGTTGCAGTAAATGTGTTTTCTCATTTGTGGCTTCCCTTCAGAGTCTTCTTAGGGTGTGTGCTGTATCCTGTTTCTCCGATCGAACCTGGAGCACGGTTCTAGGCTCTGCCTCAGAAACCTGGCTCTCCAGGAGGGAGAGGCCCCCCCCCCCACACTGCTGGCTGCCTTTACTGATTCCTGTTCCTGTCAGGCTGTCTGCCCCCCATCCCCAAGGGTTTGCACACAAAAGAGCTCAATGCGTGTCCTGCTGGGATCGTCCCCTGCAGAAGTGGAGGGCCCAGCCGGCAGAAGGGCACAAGTGGGACGCAGTGGGGGTGCTGTTCCCTGAGTGTGTGGATGGGCAGCCTGGTGCACGGAGCACGCATGCGTGTGTGTAAGGATCCATGAACTCACCCCCTGCCTCTCCTGGCCCCAACCTGTCTGTGGGGGCAGGAGGGGCTGGGGCTTGCAGAGAGGGTAGAGGGGGTGGCTCTTACCAGGAAGCTGTTGTCCTTGGGGTTGGTGGCCAGGCTCAGGCCGAGGCGCATGTTGTCCTTCCGCTCAGACACGTTGGACAGAGTGACCCTTCCTGGGGTGGGAGGGAGAAGCTTAGCCCGCAGCTCCATCCCCACCCTGGTCCCAGAGCCCGCTGCTGCCGTCAGCCACCAGACGTGTTTGTGGCAGGGTCAGGGGCAGGCAGAGTCCTCCCCCACTCCCCCTCCCCTCTGGACTCCTCGTTCGCCTGCACATCCTTACAGCCTTTCACAGGCCTGCCTGGACACGGTCTTACTCCTCACAATTCCCTGAGAGATGAGGAAACGGAGTCTCAGAGAGGCCAAGCAAACGGCTCGCAGTCACAGAGTAAGCACAGGGCAGAACTTTCCGTTGCCTCGACCAGTGTCTGTCCTCCTCCAGACATCTGACTGATTGCTAGCATCCCCCACGTGCCCTTCCCAGAGCACTTGACTTAGGCTGGCTTCCTCTCTGCATCCGTGTCCCCTCCCCATCTGCCTCCAAGCCAGCCTGCTCCCCACACTGAGTGGTCCGCATCCTACCTGGGACCCTGCCTCTCTGCTCACCGGGTAAACTGACACAGGATAGCCCCCTCGCTATCTCGCGGGTAGCAAGAGCCCTCTACAGGTGCGTGGAGTCTCGCCAGAATGTCATTCCGTGGCCGGCCACCAAGAGAGCTCATTAGGCAGGATCATTAGCTAACTGAGTGTCAGGAGAGGGTTGTGACAGAATCGAACCACTCAACAAAATCCTGTTAAGGTTTTACTAAAGAATTTCCCAGGCCACTGAAGGGAAGGGAGCAAGGTGAATCCCCCATAAGTGTGCTGGGGCATAAGTGGATGTGTGTGTGTGCACGTGTATGGGCACGTGGCGGGGGGTAGAGTTTAGGGGAAAGCGAGCCGGGCATATCATGAAACCCAGAGTGTCAATCTTCATGTACTGTGAGGAGCAGCTAGATGTCTTCCCTGCTGACCTCCAAGGACTTGGTGGCCTCCACGGAGAACGGTTTGCTAGATTCGCTTCATGGGTGGCTGGAAGTGTGAAGAGGGCACAGGCCAGCAGGGTCTGGGGGCCCAGCAAGCAGGGCTGGGGCCTGGGGGCCGGGGGCTGGGGTAGTTATGTCTGTTGTTTTTTCTCTTCGGGTTCCCTCAGTTTGTACTGAGGCTCCTTTTGAAGTCCAGCCCCTCTTGGCTGTTTTAAGAGCCAAGATTATTTTGTTCTGTCTGTCCATAGAAGCCAGAGAGAAAAGAATAGTAACGACCCTGTGTTTTCCTAATGCCTATCATTTACAAAGTACCATCCACACTGGGCCCTATCAGGACTGCCTCTTGGTCCTGGGACACCCTGACGTCAACATTTCCACTAACAGATGAGGAAATGGAGAGGCAGAGAGGGTCGGAGACTTCTAGAAGGTCACTTGCTGGTCAGTGAGAAGAGCGGGGTCTTGAAGCCAGGCTGTGCCCCGTTATATATTGAGCTGTCCCGTCTCTCGGCAGGGCTGTGATGGCTGTGGGTGGTGGTGAGAAATCCGAAGAGGGAGCTCGAAGCCCTGGGCAACTTCTGCCCCTCAGCGGCTTGGGGAGTTCTGCCCTGCATTTGTGTCAGAGGCATGCTCTCCCCTCCCCACCCCATGCTCTGTCTCCTTCCTCCTGGTCTCAGTGACGGAGCCTCCCAGACACAGGGGAGCTTAGTAAGGAAGACACTTGTGTTAAAAAGATTTGGGCTAAAGTCCTGCTTTCGCTGTGTATGGGGTTCGGGCTGCCCCTCTGTGGACAGGACAGAGTAGTGTCTTTCTCACTGGGACTGTCTGAGGACCCTGGGGCACAAGCCCCACCTCACACAGAACCTGCCTTCCAGAATTGCCTCGGCTGCCTGAGAGCCTCTGCCCTTCATTAAAACCCCGACTTTAGGGGCACCTGGGTGGCTCAGTCGGTTAAGCGTCCGACTCTGGCTCAGGTCATGATCTCATGTTTTGTGGGTTTGAGCCCCGAGTCAGTCTCTGTGCTGACAGCTAGCTCAGAGCCTGGAGCCTGCTTCAGATTCTGTGCCTCCCTCTCTCTCTGACTCTCCCCTGCTCACGCTGTCTCTCTCTCTCAGAAATAAATAAAACATTAAACAAACAAACAAACAAAAAAACCCTGACTTCATCCAGGTGTCGGGAAGAAAAGTGCCAGCAGCCGGCTTTTTCATACTGAGTTGTGAATGTCTGCCACCCGCTTAGCCTTCCCTGGAGAGACAAGAAAGAACATTCCTGGCTTGGTGAGGCTCATGGCCTGGAAAGGCCATAGGAAAACCCAGGACTCAGGTTTCCCAGCCTAGCGTTTTCCACTGTGGGGAAAGCTGACAGATGGCCCTCCTGCTGTCCATGTTCTCCTCAGTGAGAGGGAAAGGAACACTCCTCAAATGCAGGGCTTCATGGTGGCTATGTTTCCTCCGCCCTGACTCACTTTGCTGCCTACCACCTCCCAGCTTAGGCCCCAGTTCAGGAATGTTTTCCAGGGTCTGTTGGCTTCATGGCCCTCACTGCCCGCAGGGGCTCCTCCTCCTTTTGAGGGAAATAGGACCCACACTGGAAGCCACAGCAGGAGAGAAAACTAAACGATGGGTTGATGGGTTCTGTGTTCTGTGTCCCCACCTGGACCAGGAGCTCCTTTGGGTGGCCCCAGCCCTGAGCCCAGTGCACGTCCCTCCCATCCTCCTCCTCCCTCCCTCTGCCCCAGATACTTGGCCATTCTTTCTGTCCTTCAACAGAGTAAGCTCATCCCCACCCCAGGGCCTTTGCACTGGCTCTTCCTGCTGCCTGGAATGCTCTGGCTCCACCTGACTCCTCGCCATCAGACCTTTGCTCAAATGTTACTGTTTAAAGAGGCTTCCCCTCACCTTGCTAAGTTAGAACCCGCTTCCCACCTCCTCCCCACCCAGCCTCTCTTTTCACAGAGCCCTGGGTTATCACACAGCGTTCATCCCTACCTATAGCATACCCCGATCTGTCATTACTGCTTTCCAGTTTGTCTGCTTGCTTATTGTTCCCTCCCAGCAAAGCTCTTGCTTCTCATTTCCCTGCTGTGTCCCCATAAACTAGCAAGGTGCTTGGCACATACGAGGTGCTCAGAAAACGTTGGGGACATGTTAGACCTGGAATGGATCCTAGGGCCATCGGGTCCACCTTCCTCCCCTTGCATGTGAGCAAACAGAGGCTCAGAGAGAGGACGTGCACTCCCTGTGGACGTGTAGCCAAGAAACCGTACACGTGGAAGAAGGAACCGGCTTGTTTGGGAGGCTGTGCCTTCAGGGTGCTGATGACTGGTTTCCGTGAGCCAGCAGCCAGGCTCCTGCCTCCCTGAGCCTGTTTCCTCACTGAAGTCTGCGCCCCGGCTGTGCTGGGGTTTGAACTTCCCACCCACAGCGCTGACGCAGATGTGGATGGTGGGAGCTTCCAGTATGTCTGACAGGACAGCTGGCCACCCTGGGGAATCTGGGTTCTGGGGCTTTCTCTCTGATGTAGACCTTCTCATCCATCTGCTTATCTCTTGAAGCTCTGCTGTCTCCCCCACCAGGCCCATGCTGCCTCCCTTCCCCTCCCCAGGGAGCACCCACCCTGCTGTGTAGGGCAGAGACCGCCTCCCTAGAAGTCAGGGAGGCCAAGGGGCCTGGCCCTGGGAAAGGCTAGCCCTTTATGGGAGGGCTGGAGTTGCAGCTTCTCACCCCAAGTGGAATGTGTGCTCCCTTCTGAAAGCAATGTGATGGCCCAGCCACTGTCCAGTGTTGAGGACCAAGTGGAAGTGCTTTACGAGATCAGTGTGTGTTTTAATGGATGCATGTGTACACACTCACACACATAGATCGTACCAAGGCTCTTTGGTGAGGACCAAGCCTTCGTTTCAGAAAGGCAGTGTTGCTTAATGAGGACTATCTGGATTGGATATGTGGCCTCACTACTTATTAGCTAGGTGACCCTGGGCAGGTCAGCCATTGATTATGGTTGTGGAGGGGATTAAGTGAGTCAAAACTCCTAACGGCACTAAAAATAGTGGCTGGCACATGGTGAAGATTATAAAAGATATATGAATACTGGCTATTCTTGTTGCAAAATCGAAAGAAGACAGGAAATGTTTTTCCCCAGCTAAGAGTGGAAACCTCGTCGTGAGTGGCTGTGGATGAGTCAGAAAGAGAAATGGTCCGGAACATGGGGGGCCCGAGTTTGAATCCTAGCCGGCCCCTGAAAAGCTGTATGACCTTTGGAACATTGATTCCTCTCTCTGGCCTTGGCTTGCTCATCTGTAAAATGGGAGCAGTAGCTGTGTGACTGCGAGCATGGATGTGCTTTAAAGACTGTCCCGCCCCAGGCGATGGTTGACCTCACTGTGGAGAGATCAGTGGCCCACGTTACCCAGGTTGAGCTTGGTGCAGTTCCCGTGGGTCACCGGACACTTGTACACGTCTCCTGTCTTCTGGTGGCCATTGGTTTCCAATGGAGCGCCCACTACCAGCCTGGGAAGGAAAAGAAGACAAATAAAGACTGGCCCTGGAGGAAGTGCTCCTTCCTGGCAAAGGATGGGACCCGGAGGGCAATGAAGTCATGGGGTCCATGATCCTTGCCAGGATCTAGAGATACAGAGATGAAGACCACATGGGCCCTGTTACAAATGAGATGGAGGTAGTCCTTGGGAGAAGAAGTCAGGGCAGACATAATGGAGGAGGTGTGCTTGGGCTGGATCTTAATGGATGATTAGGAGTTTGCCAAAGAGTTGGGAGGGTGGTAATGGTGGTCACAAGGCAGAGGAATGATGATTTTGGAGCCAAGGAGTCTTGATCATGTGTCAAGACTACCCTCCACAGGTAGCGACACGTTCCTTACTCTATATGACAGTCTTTCAGTTGGTGACCCAGGGGCTGGGGCATGGTGCACAGGGGTCATTCATGGCTGCCCGTGCCACTAAAGTTTTTCTCAGGGTGGGCAAGGCAACCAGTGAGGCTAAAGGGTAGCCAGGGGCAGCCACCTGGCAGCTGGGGCCTCTGCCTTGAGCCTATGCCTTTGTGACCTTATTGGAAAGAGGGTCTCGGCCATTTGTTTGTTTTTTAAGTTTTATTTTGTTTTAATGCTTGTTTGTTTTTGAGAGAGAGGGGGAGAGAGAGAGAGACAGAGACAGAGGACACAAGCAAGGGAGGGGCTGAGAGAGAGGGAGACACAGAATCTGAAGCAGGCTCCAGGCTCTGAGCTGTCAGCACAGAGCCCAACGTGGGGCTCAAACTCACAACTGTGAGATCATGACCTGAGCTGAAGTTGAATACTTATCAACTGAACCACCTAGGTGCCCCTTGGCAGTTGTAATTAGAGATCTCAAAATGAGGTTATCCTAGGGGCACCTGGGTGGCTCAGTCGGTTATGCATCCGACTTGGGCTCAGGTCATGATCTCACAGTCTGTGGGTTTGAGCTGCGCATCGGGCTCTGTGCTGACAGCTCAGAGTCTGGAGCCTGTTTTGGATTCTGTGTCTCCCTCTCTTTCTGAACCTCTCCCTCTCACTCTCTGTCTCTCTCTCAAAATAAAGAAATAAAGACACAAAATGAGGTTATCCTGGATTAACCAGGGGGCACTAAGTCCAGTAACAGGTGTCCTCAGAGGAGAGACAGAGGAGAGACCCAGAGAGAAGAGAGAAAGCCATATGCAGATGGAGGCAGGCCTAGGAGGGATGAAGCCACAGGCCAAGGACCACCTGGGCCAACTGGAAGCTATCAGAGGCAAGGAAGGAGTCTCTCCTAGATCTTTCCGAGGGAGCACAGCCCTGCCCGCACCTTGATTTTGGAAGTTTGGCCTCCAGAACAGTGAGAGAAGGGTTTCTGGCCACATAAACCTTCCACTTTGTGCAGATTTGTTAACCACCCACTGGAAAAGCAATACACCTTGCTTACACGCACATACATTTCAAGAGAATAGCGACCATTCCTTCCTGACCTGGGCAAGCCCCAGCAGTGCCACCTCCCCTGAGGCCAGGGAGAGCCCCTCAGCCTGGACAGTCCCCAGGCCCTATCCTTACAGCTCCCCCAAACCTCCTCTGTGCCTCATGTCCAGCTCACCAGAGAGTGGCAACATCGAGGGCGGCCCAAGGTGGCCCAGGGAGGCAGCCAGACCCCCAGCGCAGATGTAAGATGCAGCCCTGAAAGCAGGCACAGCTTCCTTCCACCTGTTCACCCTGCTGGCACCGCCTGCCCACCTCTGGTGCATCCGGAACCTTCTAGGCCTTCAGTCCTGTTCTCAGCCAGCAGCAGCCTCCTCTGCTCGGGCCTGAGTGCTAATAGTGGCTCAAGAACGAAGCCCTCGCAGGGAAAGCTCAAGTGCCACAACTCACATGCAGCCCTAGAGGTATCCCCGACCCCGAGGCACAGGCAGTAAACATCTGTGGAGCTTGGGGCCCAGGGGCAGGTGAGACCCTGGCACAAGGGGATGGTTCTGGACCCCTGCTGTCCCAGCAGCTCCGCACCCCCGGCAACAGTGCCCAAAGAAGCAATCGTGTCTTCTGACTTATGGCGGAGAGTCCCAAGCCTGGAGGTTCAGGCTCCCTAGGACTCCAGAGGCTTCCGGTGGTCAGATTAGCCCCCACTCCCTGGCCCCGCTCCTGCCCACTTCTCGCTGAGACTGGGAAAGAGAACGAGGTCTGAAGTGGGGGTTAACAGAGCTCTGTTTGAAATTAGAGTTTATGAAATAAGAGCTGAGGTTTCTCCCATGGGAACCAGATAATGACAGATTCTAAATATATCTGCTTATTAAGCATGCCTATTTTTGACCAGCAGGAATTAATTGGACCCATAAAATCTGTTTGTCTAGACGACGTGAATTTTAGCTACTTAATTCTGTGAGTGATTGTGTGGTCAAGGCTGCTCCATTCTTTCCAGCAAGGCAGCGGAGAGAGAGACAGAGAGATAGAGGGGAGAGACAGAGAGAGAGAGAGACAAAGAGAGAGTGGGGGAGGGAGGCACAGCCAGAGACGGAGGGAGGGAGCTATCAATAAGTGGTGCTTGGGCTCAGGGCTTGCTCTTCTAGCTGCTCTAGTTTTCAAGGTCAACCTGATATATGACCAAGTGCACTTCCAGAGGAATGCACTCACCACCACCTGATGGGGAGTGCTTTCTGGAAAGAGTGCCTCTGGGCAACACCTTGTAGGGCGCTTCTGGGAAAACCAGGTACAGCTGGTTGTCGGTCAAACCACGGCCGTCTGCTAGAAAAGCCATCTCCATGTGTATTCTAGAAAACACCCCAGCAGCCTGACAAGGTGGACTTCTCACAACTCTGCCCATTTTACAGAGTGGAACGTTAAGGCCTCCATGGACTGCTTGGTAGGGCCTTTGGGAGGAAGACAGACCTTTGGACTGAGATGGTAGGAGTCAGGGTTTCATCCTGGTTTGGCCCCCAGCTTTCTGTGTGGCCTTGAGAAGTCACTGAACTTTCCAGATCTTAGTTTTCTTGGCCATGAAGTGGGGTTGGCCACCCCTGTACTGTCACTGTGGGAAGTCATAGATGTTTAAAGTCACTGAGAGACAGTGGGGACGCATCTAAGTAAACTCTGCAGAAAGATGGAGTCACGTGTCCTGACAATGTCCCGCGGGGAACAAGCTGGCAATTAAATCCATCAAGTCATCGTGACCCCAGACTTATCTCCAGACTGGGTTCTGTTCTTCTCAAAGAACAAAGGCAAGCCTCTATACCCCATCTCCATTCTCCAGACCTGATCTCCTTGGGGGAACCCGGCATTTCGCGAGGTAGCAGGGCCCCACGTCCTGTCCCCATATGACAGATGCAGAAGCTGAAGCCCCAGGAGGGACTGACCCAGCCCCCCCAGTTCTCCTGGGACAGCTTTCTCTGTGTTGCCCCAAATATTTCATCGCCATGAAGTGAGGGCCTCGGTCAGCTCTCTTCACCACCCTTAAGTCTTGGCATTACGTACAGCCGTCGGGCTTGAGGTTTTGAGGATATGATTCAATCTCACTGCCAGGGGGTTACTGCCCGAGCCCAGGGAAAAATGTTTGCGTCACCAGTGAGACTAGACAAATTGCTGCTGGGGTCTGGCAGCCCTGACCATCCCCTGTGGCCTCAGCCTTATATAGCCATCTGCAGCCTCAGGGCCTGTCGTGCCTCTGGGGGCAGGACACCAATCTCTCCGGTGTGGGCACCAGACAGCAAAGCAAACCCCAAAGGTCATAGTGAGCATTGGGCCCTTTCCACGGGCCATGTGCTGTGACTCACTGGCTGTGGGCACCCGGCATTCTTCAGGGCTGCTGTGGATGGGAGAATTGGTGGCAGGCATCAGCCACAGCCCTGTGGACCACCCTCACCCCCACCCGAAGCTGTCCTCTATAGAAGCAGGGCCTTGTCAAGGGAGGAGGCTCCCCAGGGAGATGGCCACCTGAAGAAGAAAGGTGTGGCCCCACTGAGTGCACGGCTCCTTGGCTCCCAGCAGGCCACGGGCTAAGAGGAGGGGCCTTGGCTCTCCCACAGGCTCCCATGGAAACTCATCCTGACCTCTGTTACCCTTGGCTTCATCCTTCAAGGCAAGTTTAGTTTCTGAACCTTTAAAATGCACACTCCTGGGATGCCTGGGTGGCTCAGTTGGTTAAGCGATTGACTCTTGATTTCGGCTCAGGTCGTGATCTCACAGTTTGTGAGATCGAGACCTGCATGGGGCTCTGTGCCAACGGCATGGGGATTGTGATTCTCTCTCTCCCTCTCTCCTGCCCCTCCCCTGTTCTCTGTCTAAAATAAATACACTTTAAAAAATAAACAAGTAAAACGTACACTCCTATAAGAAAAAAGGTAACACATACCTCCAATGTGTGTAAATTTATATGTAAATTATGCCAGTGTGAAACCATCAGTCTGTATATGAAATATTAGTAATCTCATGGTTTTTTTTAAATAAAATATAAACTTAAATAGAACTTGGATTGTTTTCTTTCTCTGTGCCAGTATACTGTCCTGCACATGCCCCATGGTATGCACATCCCTCCCTGGAGACCATCCCTTTAAGATTCGGCAAAATTCTCACCTACTCCAAGAAGCCCTCCCTGATTACCCTCCAGGCTCTCCCACATGACCTAGCATGTAATCCCTGCTGCCTGCTGTGCTCAGCGTTTTAGTGTCATAATTCCTTGAGGGCTGCAATGTTCTCCTCCGCCTTGCTCCACGAGCATCAGGTGGTCTGGAAGGCCCTCAGTAAAGAGGTACCTATTGCCAGATCTGACCTTCTGGCTGACAGTCTGTGGCAGCAGGAACAGCTCTGGGGGCTTCCGGCTTTGCCTCAGACCTAAGAGGAATCCCAGGTTCACTGCCTGGAAAATAGGTTACTGAGAAGCCGAGTATTGTCTGTGCATGGGGGTTCAAAGGAGTGACCCGGCTTCCACTTAGAGTCAATGTTCCTTCCTTCGCTGGTTCCCATGTCTCTTTTCTCACAGTCTGCACTTTTGTTTGGGGAGCGAGGGAACCTGGTCCTGCTCCCA